GGGTGCTGCTGGTGTTGGTGGGGCTGCTGGTGGTGCTGATGGAACTGTTGGTGCCGGGGGTGCTGCTGGTGTTGGTGGGGCTGCTGGTGGTGCTGATGGAACTGTTGGTGCCGGGGGTGCAGCTGGTGCTGGCGGGACAGGTGGTCCTGGTGGTGCAGGGGGTGCAGGCACTGGATTTGATGGTGGTGCCAGTGCTGGTGGACAAGAAGGTGGACATGGAGCTGCAGCCATTGGAAAAGGTGGAGTCGGTGGCGGTGAAGGAGAAGATGAATATGATTCATTTGAAGATTCTGATGAAGAATTTGAGGGGGAGGGGGGAGAAGAAGGATGTGTAGGAGGAGGAGGAGGAGAGGAAGGAGAAGGAGGAGAGGGAGGAGAAGGGGGTATAGGAGGAGAGGGGGGAGGTAAAGGAGGAAAACGCAGAAAACGTGTGAGAGCTGGTCCTCTGGTTCCAGATACAGTAATAGGTAAGTTGTTAATACTCTACTGCACTACACACAGAATTATATATTAAAAAAACAGAGTTGACCATTTTTATTCTCTTTCAATTTATTTAATTTATATTGTATTACACAACTTTTCATTTACGCTGTTAATACTACTAGCAGTCTATTCTGTATAAAAGTGCTATAAAATAATTAGAAATATAAATGATGAGGAAACCACAAACCAACGTGGAGACTTGTGGTTTCCTGTGAAAAAGAAAAACGCTGAAAAAAGGTAAATGTGGAATTTGAAGAACCTTTTATTGGTAAGCAACGTAAAGGTTGCATGCTGTAGTTTATTGACAAATAAGTCAGTGGGAATGAAAATCGCTATCATTACACCTGTAGGGAATTCTAAATACTTCAGTTTAGATTCAGGTGCGTAAGCAGTAGCCGATATCTTACAAAGTTTTTCAGTACTCTGCTATGTCAACTGCAAAATCAAGCCCCATGAAGTGGATTAAAAAAAAATAATAATAATAACAAATTCCAGAAGTGTCTTGTTAAACCTCAGTAAGTAAGAGAACACTAGGATGTTAAACAAGCTAAAGGGTTAAGTTTACTGGTTCTTGACAATCCAACATTCAAATATAATGTCATTTAATGAGTCATCTGTAAGTGCAACAATGTATTTACAGATCACATGGTTTTCAGTCCAGAAACAATGAAAACCTCTAGCTAATAAATTAGAAAAAAAACTGTTGTATATTATGCCTGCTTTTCTTTGTTTTTGTGTCTTGTCTTGAAAACTAGCATATATGTTTTTTTACATTTTAAACTCTTTTAAAGCTTTCACATATATGGAAAGTCATCTGTATTTGTGTTTTATGTGTATTGTGCTTTCATGTTTGTTTTTATGCTGTATAAATGTCATGTTTGAATCATTTGAGGTCTTCTATTTAGTAGGCAAATAGGAAAGATTATTAAAACCAAAACAACTTCACATAACGAATCATGAACTGTCCACTTTTTGAAGCACTAGAAATTTTAAAAAGGATCAGCACTTTTATCACATGTATTACTGCTTTTGGTTATTTCATCTATTTATTTTTCACATATACCAAGAAATACTATCCAAGTTAGAGATCACCTTTTCCACCACTCTGTTGTACCGACTGCTGTTTGTTTTTATTATCTATGTAAATATTTGTTATTATTACTGACTTTATCAATGTTATTTGTAAGGCTTAACCAACAGCAAATGAGAAATACTGGACTGATGGTATTTATGGTGATGTCCCTTAAACTTGAAAAGCAAAAAACTGAGAAGCAAGAGATACCAATGGTGATAATGGCACTGGACCATCAGCAGGCAGTGATGAATCTCCTGAAAATGGTGAAGGTGCAGATGATGATGAGCCAGCAGCAGCTGGCAAACGTTCAGGCAGTGCACAGCAAGGCTGACTGTTTGACGAGACACTTGGTGGTAAGATTACAGGTGCTATATTAACTGCTGCATGGGAAGCAATCTCACTGGAAGTCATATGATGAGCTGATGACATTTCCAGTGGCTTGGGACTTAATAGAAGTGTGTGATCATTAAGAAGAAGAGCAGATTTAATGTCTAATTGGATAAATTACCTCCTACAATGATTACAGGTCAGGACAAGTGAATTTAACTTTGAGCATGCATTTATTTAGGAAACATCAATTAAATTTGATACACTAATGTTTTTTAGCTTAATTGTCCCAGAATTGTTAAAACTACTTCACATATTTTTTTAGGTAACAGAACACCCTTACTTATATAATTTTAATTTTATTTTTTTGACCTACAAGTGGATTAGCTGCCAACAATTTGTTTATTTGTGTCTACATGTGTCTTTGTATGTATTTGAAGGTTGGGTGTGGTGTGTGTATGTGATTTTTATGCATCTGTGCTTTGTGTGCTTTCTATGTTAACAATCTTGCTTTTCATTTTAAAAGTTAATTCAGGATGAATCAGTGCTTTGGAGTCATTTATTTTTTTTAACTGGTCACTTAAATACTTTGTGTAGTTGCACTCTTACGTAACTGGAAGATAGAAGACAACTTGGACTGACCTTGGAGGATGACTATGTCCTAAACCAGATTCATGGGTGTGGTTTTTTTTTCTTCCATATTTCACTTGATGCTGAATTTATGCCAGCAAAAATGACATACTCCTTCACTGACCAAGAAGGTCAATCTCAAGTGGGACATCTTAATGGTAAATCTTTCTTTTTTCCAAGACTAATTAAGTGAACAGAGACAAATGGACAACTCTGTGAAGACATTCCTGAGCTGTGCCAACAGTTGGCTTGAGCTGACGAAGACCAATGCCATATGAGATAAGCTACAAATTTAAAAAAAATAAAAAGATCTTCATCAAGTATTTTTTTTTTCCCAAAAACCCACTCTTATTGCATCATTTACCAACTTGGATTAAACAGCTACTACAAATCTGACATTTCTGTCATAAAAGCTTATTTTTTATAAGTAAAAAATAAAATAGGTAAGTATGTTCACAATTGCATTCCTGCATATATGAATGGAAATCTTCAAATCACTAAAATTGTAAATGTACAATTACAAAAATGAAATAAAAGATAAACTGTTTTGCAATTACTAACTTAATGTTTGATAAATCTTCAGACCCAGGAGTTCACTTTCATGCTGGGCTTTCTGACTGCAAAGCCATTATTGGAGAAGCGGCAGAGCTGGAGTGTAAAGTGAGCAGTGAAGACTGTGTGGGAGTCTGGTACAAAGATGGAGCAGAGGTAAGCTCATGGTCTTAAATCTGTTAATGTTGCATTTAGACTTTATCTGCATGGGTTTCCTCTGGGTACTCTGGCTTCACCCCACTATCTAAAGACATTGTATTTTGGCCATGGATGACAGGCAGATATTATTATAGAACAAAGCGCTATATCAGGGGTCTCAAACTGCTGCAATCACAGCATTGTAAGATGGCGAAAGATGTACCCTTAGGCCCCCTCCTCGATTCAGAGATGGTCTTTCCCTTTTCACGTAAATGGCCTCGTTGACTCCACGCTCAAACCAGCGTTCCTCCCTGTCCATGATGTGTATGCAAATGAACTGTTTATAAGATTGGGGAAACCTGCAGTCAGCTGAGACTGAAGAAGTCACTTGGATGAGTGACGAAACATTTCTCCCACAAAACGCTACTTCCAGATGAACAGAATCAACTTTTTGGAGATTTACTTTCCTGGATGATTGAGAATGCATCAAAATGTTAAAATAGGTTCTTTAAAAAGCACAACATGATTTAATATGAGCAATATGAGCAGACAGTCCAAACATGTTGAGGGATTGCCTGTGTTAGTTCAGTGAAAGTTATTTTTTAAAATAAAACAATTTTCACTTGCAATCAAAAACTAATTTGTACACTTATGCCTGCATTTTTATTTTGTTATTATTCCAGATTCAGTCATCTGAGGGGTTAACTATTTCAAAGGATGGAACATTTCACAGACTGAAAATTCATAAAGTCACAGAAGAATTTGCAGGGAAATATAAATTTGAAGCAGACGGGCGTAAGACAGAGGCTGAGATTGCTGTTGAAGGTAAAAACATTAGTATTGCAATAGCTATTTTCTTGCTCACAGGGTTTGCATCATTCATTAAGCAGTGTGTTTAGTTTGTGATGAAAAATTATTTTTAAGAGCAGTGCAAAATAAGTTTATTTATTGTACATACAGTAACTACAAAGCATAACAGTGCTTGAAATATGTTTTTGTTTTTGTATGACTCATTCTAGATCCACCACGATTTAATGCTGAAGATCTGGAAGCATTCAAAACTCCTGTCACTGTGAAAAAAGGACACAAAGCTACGTTCAACTTGGCTTTTATTGGACGGGAACCTATAAAAATTCAGTGGTACCATGAGGGTGAAGAGCTTTCGGAGGAGGCAAACATCAAGATAGAGCATTCAGAGGGGTCTACCCGTCTACTGCTATTGAAGCTTCAGCGTAAAGATAGTGGTGAAATCAAGATTAAACTCAAAAATGAGTTTGGCACTATGGAGGCTCTTAGCCAACTTGTTGTACTGGGTGTGTGTATAGAGCTTTTGCATAAGATACTGGATTTAATACACTTAAAAATCTTGGTTCTGCACAGATGAATATTCTGTATGGTACTTTCTCTTCAAACAGATAAACCTACTCCTCCAATGGGACCTCTAGAGATTGTTGAAGCCTCCGCCTCTGCAGTTGAATTCAAGTGGAGACCCCCAAAAGACAGTGGTGGCTGCAAGATATTAAACTATATCCTTGAACGACAACAAGTTGGCCGTAACACCTGGAAGAAGTTGGGGCCAATTGGTCCTGAGGCCAAGTACAGGGACACGGATGTAGACCATGGCCGAAGGTATTGCTATCGCCTCAGAGTGGAGACTGACATGGGCTTCAGTGAACTGATGGAAACAGAGGACATTCAAGCTGGTACAAAAGGTGAACTAAGATAACAATTATTTAAATGCCATCTTCTCAAAATACCACTGTATTAACGATCTGGTCATCAACATTCAAAAGGCAAATCTTACAGGTAAAAAAACAACAACAACCTTTTATTGAAAAACTCAGGTACTTGTTTTTTGTGTTTTTCCTCCTGTGCTTCACCATAAAATTGACTTTCCTCAATTTTCACAAATTGAAAATGGGAATGGTCTGCAGACAGCTGCGAGATAGGACATGCACTGTTTATTTTATTTTAAATAAGCTATGCAAACTTACTTCTATGACAATAAATTGAACAACCTTATTTTCATTTTCCCATATACATTTTTTTCTATTCAAATCTTTGTTGAATTAGGAAAAAAATTGACAACTAAAAGTCAGGCAAAAGCTTTCATTAACAATGTAATAAATCTAGCTGTATACATTTCAAGAGAATGAATGGAAACATTTTGCTGTGCTAATTTCTCATGTGGCAAGACTTCTAATTTAAGGTAGCTAAATAACTGAAGAGAATGCAAAGAATATCTTTTAATTCCAACTGACCACTATGGTTTCTAATGCAATAAAGTTATGGTTCAGCTTTTGTGTCATTCTCAGTGTCAGTTCCTCAAAAGTAGACAACCTTTTTTTATTGAACCTTTAGACAAAAACATATAAATGAAAAACATACTAATCCCACTCTTTTCTGTATACAGCATACCCTGGACCTCCATCAGCACCCAAGGTTGTCAGTGCCTTCAAAGACTGTATCACTCTCTCCTGGTCTCCCCCTGCTAATACTGGAGGAACCAGTATTCTGGGATACAACCTTGAAAAACGCAAGAAGGGCAGCAACTTATGGGGCCCTGTCAATCCACCCAATGAGATGATTAAAGGTTTCTTATTCACAGCCGGTTTCTGTTTGTTTATGTTAGAATAACTTGACAGCACAACAGTGATGTCCTAATGATTTATTGCTGTAATTCAAATTTTTTCCTTACAGGGAAGCAATTTGCTGTGAAAGATGTAGTTGAGGGCATGGAGTATGAATTCCGTGTGTCTGCGATCAATAACTCTGGAGCCGGTGAATTCAGCTCCCCTTCAGAATTCGTGTTTGCCAGAGACCCTAAAAGTAGGTGGAAACTGATACGGTTGGCATTTTTTTGCTTTTTTTTGGTTTTTTTTAAAATTATTTTTTTTTTTTAATCATATTTTACAGAACCTCCTGGTAAAGTCAGTGACTTCAAAGTGACAGATTCCACTTACATAACCATGTCCTTGTCTTGGACAAAACCCAAGGACATTGAGGGGGTTGAAGATGAAGCAAGGGGATATTTTGTGGAGATCAGGCTTGCAGAAAACACAGAGTGGGATCGCTGTAATTTGAATGCAATAACCATGACGTCTTATACAGTAAAAGGCATGAAGTCAATGGCTATGTACTGGGTAAGAGTCGTTGCTATCAATGAAGGAGGTCATGGAGAGCCACAGGAACTGGATAACTACCATATCTCTATGCCTCCTCCTGGTGAGAAAATTCCCAAATGTTCTATTTAATGTCATGATTACAAAGCAACATAATAATGATAAATTCAGTAATTATTCTTTGTTTTGTTTCCACTAAGCAATGCTTGAAATTAAGTATATAGTTTCTATTACTTGTAATTACCAGAATTTTGCATACTTCAGAAATCTAATAACCAGCATAAACGGTACAACCACAATATTTGGCAATACATACCAGATTAAAATCTGAGGTAGTTTCCTTGAGCATCAATGTACCCAGTGTCTCCACTGCTCATGGTACATTTGAATTGCTCCATGTATAAATATCATCTTCTGTGCCAAATTATTACCACCAAAGCCTACTTGCGAGATTAGTCTTCCTGTAACTTTTACCCAATATTAAATTTTGTTCTGACAAACTTTCATCCTGCTGTTATATGTTACATAGTGAGGCCCCGATTCACTGATGCCAAAATTAAGAGTTTTATGGTGGTGAGAGCAGGAAATTCAGCACGATTCAACATTAACTTTGAGGTAATAACTTGATTACTATATTTGTGACAACAGACATATAGGGATTTATTTTATCTTCTTACAAACTAAGAAAATTACATCTTTGTATTCTTTCTAGGCCTCTCCTTGGCCAGATGTAATCTGGCTAAAAGATGGCGTGCCAGTGTCTAAAAAAGTGACCATCAGTAATGCAGAGGGTACATCCCAGATTCTCATTCCTTCTGCTGAGCGCTCAGATACAGGAGTCTATACAATCATTGTCAAGAACATTGTTGGGCAAGAAACAATCAGCATTGAAATTAGAGTCACAGGTGTGTTTGGTATAATCTTGTATTTATTGTAAAACTTCCATTTCATATGCTGTGGACAAAAGAAAAAACTAAACTTTCTTTTTAACTCCAGATGAGCCCAAGCCTCCAGGTCCTGTGGAGTTAGATGAAAATGTGCATGGTACTGTGACTATTTCATGGACAGCATCTTCAGATGAGAAACGTGATGACAGACTGCACTACATGGTGACCAAGCGTGATTCAAGCAAAAGAACATGGAACACCATTGCAGATCGAATCTTCAACAACAGATTCACAGCATGTAACATAATGCCAGGACGAGAATACCAGTTCAGAGTCTATGCAAAGAACGACATGGGCTCCTCCAAACCCTCTGAATCGCCCAAGTGGCTGATTCCTGCCAAAAAAGGTATGCACATGGTTATGCCTGTCCTTTTGGAAGACATGTTAGTTTGAAGAAGAACTGCAATTTTTAAGAGTACAGCTTTAAGAAAATCCAGTATTAAATATTAACAACTAAATGACTCTTTAGCTACAAAATAAAGTTTAACTGTTTGTGACCATATCTATTTTACTTAATTTGCGGTGACACTGATGTTATAGGGCCATGTATATATATAATGTGGACAATGGGTATGCATTGCTGTATTTATCTGTATTTGTTTTTATGACGTATCCACTGATATTTAAAACTTTAGAGTTTTAACCTTGTTTCCCTTTTGCTTTGCTGTATGATTATGACAAACTCTAGTACACGAACAGGACTAGTATCTCCTTTCATTTTCTAATAATTCTGTTGTAGCGCCATCATCAAGACAGTATTGACACATTTTCTAATGTTAGATGCATTGCATTCTAATTGTTTTCATGTTTCCTTTCTTCCAGAAAAGTTCACTGTGAAAATGCCAGAATCAAAGACGTGCAATCTGCTGTGTTCTCCCAAGTTCATTGTCCCACTGAAAACCCACACAGCTCCTGAAGGGTATGAATGCTATATGACTTGTGCTATAAAAGGGGATCCAACACCTCATGTCACATGGCTCCGCGACAGTGTCAGTCTGAATACAAACACTAACTACCTAATCTCCAACACCTGTGGAGTATGCTCTCTGCTCATATTGAGGGTTGGCTCGAAAGACACCGGGGAGTACAAGGTTGTTGCAGAAAACTCTTTGGGAAGGGCAGAGTCTGCAACTAAACTCACAGTCAGAGGTAAGCCTTTCAAAGAGACATTTTATGCCTTTCCTCATTTGCTGTCATGAGTATATATATATATATATATATATATATATATATCAGTATATCAGATGTATATACTAGTATGATGTAAATCATTTCTTCATGTTTTAAATAATAAAGGAAAAAGAATTCCTGTGGGCGAAATGCTCACTTCAGGCTGCTCTCACCAGTTTCGAACAGTTTCTTTCCAGAATGTGTTTATTTTTGCTTTACCTTTTCTTCACAGAATAATTGGACACACCGAAGATGGCAGACTTCCTTTATAATGCTAGCATAAATCAAGCTCATGATAATGCCACATTGTTTGCAGTTAAGTGAGAACTGTGATGAATGAAACCTTTTTTGTTGTTTTTTTTAAATTATGCTAGTGATGCCTTCCTTATTTGATTCACAAATTAAAAAAACATCATCTAAAGTCAAAGTAATAATAAAGCCTTAGGCCTGCAAAAAATGCTTAAATAAAAGTTACCAACATGTGCCTATTTTGATTTCAAGGGTATAGCAGTAATGAAATAAAATACTGAAATATAACTGAAAACTATATACAGTTTATCTCTACACAGCACTGATTGTTATTAGATTAGTTGCTATTAGTCTGAAGGTGATGAAACAACTTGTGTCTTAACAGATTTTTAGATGCAAGGATCTTTGGCTTGTATAGTAGGTGTTTGTAGAAGACCCCAGAATAAAACTAATATGAGAAGATATATGAACTGACAGGATATTTACATTATAATGACACTGCTGTCATAAATTGACATCAATATGAAAATTGTGTGAGTTTGATGTAAATAAACATTTCAAACAGCATCGTGACATGAATTTTTAATGTTACCCGCAAGTCACTTTGACCTGAAAATAATAATAAAAATGTACCGGACAGATTTTTGTTACTATAGACTATTGTGGCCCTGGGTCAAGCCTCAGCATGGCAGACAAGTATTGAAATTCATGTGTGTTGTTCACATTCATGAAACTTTCTGAATAATAACTTATGTCCAGCATTTCTTATATTATATTTCTAAGCATATTTTGAAAGGCTCAGCCATCATTCCAAGTTTAGAGTCAATAAGAACTAGTGGCTTAGGTAAACCCTGAGCCATACATAAATTCTGAATGCAGGGTGACACAGCTCAGTTTCAAATACTGAAATTAATATAAATGCTAAATCTGCTCATATTCACGCTCAGCCTAAACCTGCAATAAAATAACTATCGCTCATTGGTACCTTAATTTTAGAATGAGGTTTATCTTGCTTTGTTTTGATGAACAAATAAAAATGTATTCCTTTTCTTATATGTTCAGATACATATCAGATAGCCTACATGTAAGATCAGACAATGCCAAGGCGGCTCCACCAGTGGCACTACAACCCTCTGTATCAGATCCTATAAGACAGCACAGAAGCACCCTGCTGCCATTCTAAAGTTGACTTTCCAGTTTTGAGGATAATATTAGTGAGCCTTAATGCTGCAATTTATCTGCTGTCACCTTTTCAAGAACTTATAGGAATCCAATACCAGGGCTTATGTCAGTAACCTCCAAGAACTATGGTAACAAACAAAAGTAAAACAGTGGTTAAAGGTTGTTCTGAGGGTCTTTGAAAGGCTTTACTGCATCTCAAAAAGAAAGCCCAGACTCAAGAATCATCTGAAACCTAGCTGACAACAGACAATGGAAATTGAAAATACGGTAAGTAAAATGACCAAGAACACTGTGATGATCGTGTCCACAAACACACAATTGAAAAACTCTAGTATTACTAATTATATTTCACAATCATATAAATCAGATACAGAATAAGGTTTAATGCTGCCAACTTATTTTCACATTTAAGATTTCCAGTTACTAAATGACTGGTTTAATCAATTAGCTTTTTTTGTTTTAATATATCATGACACTGCACTATATTCTAAATGATGGTGTGCACATTTGATTACACTGTGTTGCCATGAATTTACATAAGTTAAAGTAATTGTTGTTTCTGTTATCTTGAGCCTTCTGTGTGATATGTGTCTTTGTATTAAATTTAGTTATTGACTCTGGGGTTTGCCCTTTTTTGTTTAAAATCCTTTAAAACATTAGTATGTAGATTGGGCTCCATTTTATTTGGGCAAGTCAGTTCGTTAAGAGATTATTTATTTATTTATTCATTTATTATAGACTAACCACATTGCTGTTATTTATATTCACCATTTAATAAAAGCATAATTGTGAAAAAACAAACATATTTCAAGAGAAATATTGAAATTGACTAAATTTATTGTTAATAGTATTCATGAGAGAAAAGAACCAGATAAACTACACAGAACAAGCTCACGCATTTATATGCTTACATTTACCATGTTGCTCTTAAGATTTTTACACCTTTTTTCTGAAACTTTAAAATTCTTTCTAACAGAAAAGGGAAAATTACATGATATGCACGCCCATGTTATAAATCAATCAGTTCACTTATAACAGCGTTCAAAAGTCAACTCTCTAATAAATATGGCTTCACAACAGTACACCAAGCATGCAAACCCATTAAATATGTAGGGCTTTTATTAACTGACAGAGCCCAGATGATTCATTTTAATTAAATTTAATAGAGAAAGCTTAAGTAGCTATCAAATATACTGTCATTGGACTATTGAACCATATAAATGAAGGAAGACTGAGCATAAATATATTGAGAACAGCAGCTTTCACATTGCTTTTTCCCTGAGATACGGTGATAGAGCATATTGTTGACATTACATGAGAACAATCAATTTGAATCTTCTAAATATGCAAACACATTGCCAAAAGTATCTATAATCTAAATCTTATTTTTCTTTCTACATTCATTTGTAAGTCATGTAAGTATGGTGCTATGTCTTCTGCTACATAACAATGCAAATGCCCTCAATTTCAGTTATGCAGAACAGAATCATGCAGGTACAACAGCAGATGAAACGTTGTTCTGTTTTGGTTTGACAGGTTTATGTTTTTAAATACAATTTTATTTTCTAAGACTTCTGCATTTTTTCCTCTTTTTGGATGGCTGACATTGAAAACAAAGACAAAGCCACAAATCAATGGCAAGTTTTGCAAACTGTTGATGAGTGCAGACAAGAAAGATTACACGAGCATCTGTTCTGAACTACTGATGTTTGCTGGATGCTAAGGAAACTACATGAGCAAGAAAAAAAAGAACATTTCAGGTTCATCTAAATATAAATACAAAGCAAGCACAATTATATATCATCAATAGCAAAATGTTGCCATACAAGAAAAAATATTTTAACTGTGACATTTCTTTTGCCGATTACAACAAAAATAGGTTGTTGACAGATTTTGCGAGATAAAATATATAATAAATAAATAAATAAATAAATAAATAAATAAAAATAAAGCTGATAGCATTTCAGACGTTGATATTGAAATGTTACCCCAGCACCCTTTTAGCATTCACTTGTTTGATATTTGATATTTTTGATATTTTTTTTTTTTTTTAAATAAATCTAGAACTTGTAAAATTAGAGTACTCAAAGTCTATCCTACTCACACACTGAAACAGTTTTTCTGGCTGCTTGTGACTGAGCAGGATGAACGAAATAACACAGACCAAATCTCAGTTCAAAAAAGTGGGACAGGAGTTTGTGGTCAGCAACAACAATGTTCATCCTGCATCCTTTGGACAGCTGCATCCAAATTGAAGGCCAAGTTTCAAATAATGGGGAATGTCAGAGATAGGCCATAAACTGAGCATCCCAAGAAGACGACACTACAAGACTGTTTCCTTACCATGTCAGCACTTAGGAACTGTGGGCAATGTTATACAGATTTACAGTGAAAGCTTGAAGAATAATATGGCTTACAGCTCTTTACCCAGAGATACTGGACATAGTGCACACAGCCAGTCTCTAATGTCAAGGGGATGGCAGGAGACCTGCCAGGCCACATATTTTTCTGAATACTATTCCAGCCACTTGGTTATGATGTTCTATGTATGCCCTACCTGCTAGCATCTTGCAACCTGATGTTATGTGCTGGATTAGCTCAGTGGCATCTTTACACCTGGGGTCTTGCCTGGTGTGATGGACACCAGTCTCAATGGATCTTGTGCTCAAAGCTTGTTCCTGTGCTGCCATGATTAGTGCCTCTGTGACATCTTTCAGTCCAGCTTTGTCCAGCCACTGGTAGGATTTGTGGATGTCAGCCACTTCCTCTATCTGTCAGTGGAACATACCGTCCAGGGCTTGTCCTTCCATGATAGTTCCTCCTCTTGTTCCTCTTTTTTGGGTTTCTGCTGCTTGAGGTATTCACTGCTGGACTTGGGGTGAAACCCTCCATGCATGGTCAGGAGCTTCCTTGTGTTGATGTCAGTGGCTTCTATTTCCTCCTTTGGCCAGCTTATTATCCCAGCAGGGTACCTGATCACAGGCAGGGTGTAGGTGTTGATAGCCTGGATCTTGTTCTTACCGTTCACTTCTCAGGACTTGCCTCACCCTCTGCAGGTACTTGGTGGTTGAACCTTTCCTAGCTGCCTCTTCATGGTTCCCATTTGCCTGTGGGATCCCCTGGTACTTGTAGTTATCCTCAGTGTCTGCAATGTTGCCTTCTGGTAGTTCAATCCCCTCAGTTCTGACTATCTTCCCTCTCTTCGTTATCATCTGACTACACTTCTCCAATTCAAATGACAATGTCGTTGCTGTATATATCCTGGTGGTCTGGCTCAGTGAATTGATGTCTCGTTCACTATTGGGATACAGCTTGATGTCATCCATGTAAAGGAGGTGGGTGATGATTGCTTCTTTCTGTAGTCAGTATCCATAGCCAGTATACAAATAAATAAATGACCCATTTTTCACACACTGAAATCTAAGGCAATGCTTGACCATGAATATCTTAAAAAGCATTAAAGATAATAGCTTGAATTTTTACTGTTTTTTCTTACCATCAATGTGAATCTGTAATTTCGTACAAATGTATCAAAAATGTCTAAATATTGGTTATATCAGCACTACTAAAAGTCCCATATTTGAGGATATATAAATCAAAAACTTGAAATTGCAAAAGTCGACTTCTGGATGATATCTTGTTGAATTACACAATATTGTAAAATAAAGCAAGTAAAATACTTTTAACATGAAATTCTTAGACACAAAAATGAAGAAAATGCAATTTTTCATTCAACTGTCACACTACAAACTACAAAACAAAAATATTAGTAGTCCTGATAGTACTCTGAACAATTTAGTTCAATATGTGAATGTTTTCTTTTATTTTCAAGATCTGCGTCATTCCATCTCCAATCATGAAACTTTTTTTGCAATGTGAAGTTGTTGTTTTTTGTCTTTTGGTTTTTTTTTTCCCAAATTTTATCTAATATTTTATATATTTAGTATTTAGACATTTTTCAATGTATTTGTTCCAAATTAAAGATTCTGATTCATTCTGATGGTAAGACAGATCAGTAAATATTTCAGGCTTTTATCTTTTATAGTTTATATAGTTTACCAATATTCTTTTTTAGATTTTCATGTTTAAACATTGGCTCAGAGTTCACTGTGCAAAAATAATAATAATTGTGCTACAATTATAATATAAGGATTGTTTTAATACTTTCATTTAATACTCTTGAGAAACTTGAAGTCTAGAACATCGCAATATGCTGCATTTGAACAAAAGTGGTGTGAAAACCCCCACAAACAATCTAAAGAGCTTTGAAAGAAAAGCATCTGGACTTCTTTAATTTTCTTCAAGACATTTCACCTCTCATTCAAGAAGCTTCTTCAGTTCTAAGAGCAGATGGTGGAGACCCAGATTTTTTTTAAGCCCTATGCGAGTGTCCCCCAAGGGGGGCATGGATCCCCTATTGATCCTTCACCTAACCACACGAGCCAAGGTGTGAAAACGGGTGTGGGTCACAATCAACCAAGGCTTCAGATGAACCCGCTGTGAAACCTAGCCTCACCCTATCATGTGATTTCCTGAGGTGAAATGGCCCAGCATGTGAGTGGGTCTGGGAAGGGATTTTAAAACAAATACAGTATAGATATGCTATTTTAAACCACCAATAACGTTAGATGTGTTTTTTTAAACACTGTTTACTGCAAAAACATTCAGTTTTCCTACAAACCAGTGTATACTGTGTGAAAATACATGCCTGGCTTCAAATTTATCTTTTACTGTGGTGTTGCAAGTTGCTAGGGAAAGTCATAAGTGATACAATTTCATGTGGATGACAAAGTACAACTGTGAAATAACTAAACATCTTTTATAAAGTGCTAAGACATGCAAACATTATCAGTAGCCACACTGTATCCTATTATTAGTGGCACACATCATTAGTAGGAGTTTCCTGTATTAGGCTTTGACATTTGGAATCCTATAGCCACATACCAATGGTATATAGAAATTCTCTGTAGTAATGTAGTAAGGAGCAAAAGCATACCCTTAATTTAACAACCTAAAATAAGCACTCATTTGAGAACATAAAAATATATGCCATAAGTGATTTATCTTTCAGCCATTTAACTGTAGTTCTATTATGCTAAGTATACTGACGTATTATGCATTTAAACGAAAAAGGGAGAAAAACCTTTTGAAAAGTGATGGTAACACACAGATAACACGCTACCTTAGTTCAGACTATACTGCTTTGTGCAATTTTAGCTTGTTTCATCATTGTTTTGGAGGGTAGCATTTGAAGCTTTTGACTTTTGTGACCTTTTGCAATAAATGCCGTCAAGCCCATCAAGCCTCTCATATCAGCTTTCACTGTCTGAAAACCTCATAGTTCTTGTGTCACACATCCAGCTTTTATTAAACATCTTGAACACACACGCACACAAACACACACACACGCGCACACACGCACGCACACACAAGTTCATGCTCAGACTGAGCATAACTCTGTTACCACAATAACTGGGCAGTGGTCTAAAGTGCCAACAACCATGACTCCATGATAAGTCTGAATGACTCCTAACATATACGTAAACAGCCCCAAGGTTTAGTGCGTTAAACAGAAAAGATATTTCTACTAATTAAAAAAAGTTAATTTTCTGTGATGTGTTAAAAGTAGTTTTACAATTCTTGGTCAATACAAAATTACCCTATTAAACATTCTTTTGGATGTATAAAATAACATCAATTGGAGGTAACAGTGTAGTTCAACTATGTAGAATTGCATTGTTACTAAATACAGAAACAATGGAAATAATACAGTCTTAATTCTTGGGAATGATTGCTGTCCTGTGCTCAAGAAAAGTTGCTTTGGAAAGAGCAGTACTTTAATTCCTCAGAGGATTTCCCAGCCTTTCAAAGCTGATTTATTAAACAAGAAAAAGAAGAAATTTTAATGACAGCAGAACAGAAAAGCTGTCCTTGTAGGTTAATACACTGCTCAATTAAAAGAAATCCCCTTCATCGCAGGAATCATTATGGGATGGGTAATGTATTAGAAATGAAAAGATCCTACATAATTTACTGCACTGAAGATTATCAATCTATGGGGGTCTGAAATCAAAGACACCCCAAAAATCCAGATCTGTAGAGGTCTGTGCATCCCTGAAAGGATACAGTATGACTTCCCAGACCATGACTGACCCACTCTCAAACAGGTCATGCTGAATGATGTTACAGGCAGCATCTTCTCAACAGCTTCCCCACACACACCCTTTTATGTCTGTAAACAGTATGAGGTGCCAGTGGTGGACCTGCCAGTTCTGGTATTCTATGGCAAATGCCAATCGGGCTCCATGGTGCCAGACAGAGAGCACAGGGCCCACTAGAAGGCTCTCGGGGCAAAAGATGAGGAGGAAAAAAAAAATCTGTCAGTGACTTGCACCTTTCCTGTGCAGCAACGTATATAAAGAATATAGTTTGGTATATATTATTGTTTTTCCATGCATATTTGTTATCATTTAGCCCTTTTAGTTCAACCATCCCAGAAGAAAGCTCCTCTATAGTCCTCTCAGAGCATTACTACCAAGTAATGTGGCTAATTAAGCCCATTCAAATACTGAAGAATAAATACTAGAGGGTGTGAGGCTGTCAGCTGCATGTAAGAAGGCTGTAGTGGTCACAGTTGTATTTCCCATTTTTTAAGCTAAGTATAAAGTAATGGGGGTGGCTGAAGACTTTAACACTAGTGTACACACTTGCTTAGTTGAGTATTACTAAATGATCTGTAACAATGTGTGAAAGGGACAGAATAAAGTAACTGAAACAGGGAGAATGTAAAATGTAAAGTCTTGTAAAAGTGGTATGTGTGATCATAACAAGATTCATTTTTAGGTGTGTCATTCACAGTAAATGTCCTGAGGAAGCTTATGTATTTGTCAACAAGAAGTCCCAGTTATGGTCATCTCAGCACAAGGCTTGCAGGCAGCCTTGGCTTTCCGTCTTCCTATCTAGAGGTTGTGATTTATGCCAAAAACAAAAAAGCAATCCCCTTTCTTGGCAGGCACGGTGTCTGACAACGTGGGAGCTTGTCGCAGAGTCATTGGCATTCCTGTAAGGATTTAATAGCTTGTAGACCAGGAAGGCAACACTCGAATATCAGCCAGGGAAGCAGCACCACTGAACAGGATCACAGGAGTACTGTGGTGAGTTCATCATTCATCTTATATACATCACCAGTCTTAGATGAAGGTGTTAAGTATTAAGACATGGCTCTAGTTTTTAACACTCAGTTCTGGGCCATATTAAATCTTAAAGATAACAGTAAGTCCATGTGATAAACTGTGCAAAGTATTTGCCTATAAACACAACTGAGCTGACTTAATAAAAGTTCTTTGTTGTCCACATGAAAGTGGTTTAATCTTCCATCATTCACATTATTTAAGTACAGTGAAGTTGTTTTCTAATTACTCAGCTCCTATGTTTCATTAAATATGCATTTCAAAAGGTTTTTCAAAAATTTTGAAAATGCAACAATAATGCACGTCAGTATACAAAAGTAACTGCTTACATGAGTTCAAATAAAATGAACTTTATGTGATTTCCAGATCTTGTATATAATTGTAGCCAGTTGGCAAAAAATCCTTACTACTCATAACTTTCCCCTATGTTCTTGCACATAGAAAACTTTGAAAATTTCACAGCCATACCTAAAACCAAGAATGATCCTTTTGAGAGCATGTTATTTTATTTTTTTTAAACTCCTAACTTTAATTTTTCTTCATGAATAGTTACTCTAATCTGCTCTATTAATTTTTCATCCATCAGCTTATCAATTTATGGCCCCTTAAAGTTTTAAATGAAGATTTAAATAGATAAATGAGCTGCATAAAAATACAAAATAGCTTATGGTGAAATTCTGGAAAAATTCAATTTAAGCAAACCTGGCACTCTAAGCTACTGGCATCAGCGTCATCTCCGTAGATAGCCACATGCTTTCTGAACATGCCCCTCACGGTGTCTCCCTTTTAATCATCTTTATGATGCTCTCAGTCTCTGAGTATACTATCCCGTACTGTATTTCATCTCCAGTCAGAGAAGCAGCTGGTGGCATTAACATCAACAAGTTAACATCAGCAAAGGCGATATATATCCTATAAAAACAACTCACACAGCAAGGAGTCCTAAACTGGAGTGTGTTGGAAGCCAAGTACACAAAAAAAGAATTTCTAGAGCAAAAAAATGAAAAATCTAAATCTCAAAGGTTTTTCTGACCATAAAAAATAACTTTGCAGAACAACCATAATGGGAGCTCAAGTTATGAGCTTAATCTCATCCCATTTATCCTAAGAATACAAGAATACAACAATGTGCTTAGCAATAACCATTTTCTGTTATATTTACTGAATACTTTAAAATATTAAAAGTCTTTTCACCATTTAGTTGCTGCTCTAATCATAAGTAAATGCACCAAAAATTAAAAAAGACTGATTATGAAGGTTATCTGTTTTGTGCCCATAGATAGAAAATGTGGTAATCTATAATGATTTAATTTGCTAGACTGAAAAAGTTTCACCTCAGTTTGACATTATCCTGTCAAAAGTGATTTACAAGCATATTAAGATGTGCAAGATGGGATGTTCACAGTTTTATGTGGCATGTGACTTATCATATGACAGTCCAGTTTTCTCATCTTCCAACAGCCATGAAGCGCTGAAACCCTAGAATATCACGTGTCTATAACGGGATGTGCTAGGTTTCTGCAAATACTATACATGAGAATGAAAGATGTCGCACGCATCTGAAATATAAAGTCAGTGTATCTAATTAATCAGCAACAATGTAGAGCTATACAGACTGAAAAAATATGATGATTAGTCAAGTTACTCAGGCATTCAGAAACAGTTTATTTTCTTGTTCACAAATATGTGAAAGAGCTTTACACAGTTTGGTGGATTTTGCCATAACAGCTGTAGACGTCTTACACCCTTCCCTGCTGTTAGATCAATGACTCAGAACATTAGCTCTGTACTTCATTTCATTTGGACATAAAGTTCAACGCAGCCCACAGAACTTTTAACTGGTCCTGGGACACAGGAAATGGGTCGAACTAAAGTGCTCTGGAAACATTGAGTTTTGGGAAACAAATTTTCATCGACTTTGACTCACATCCACTCAAAGCAACTCATTTCATAACACTAGCAACAGGAATTTACAAATTCTGTAAAAATTCCCTCTCCACCAAACTAAAAACTACAGTATATGTAGATGTGATGATGACACTGCTAAAGTGTAAGAGGGAACATTTGGGAACATTAGCATTTCTCTGTCAAATGATATTTTTTACAGTATACAAAATTAGATATCCAAGCAATGTTTTCATGTTTAAACCTATAGTCATGTACAGTTTTTCTTTTCCTTTTTTCTCTTATTTTTTTTCCCATCAGACTTTGTTTTGACTGACAGCTTTGACAATCTCAGCATACAATACTAAACAGTATGTAATCCCAGATCTCTTCCTGTCATTATAAAATCTATCAAGCTGATGTTTCTCAACATATGGAAACAAAAACAAAAAAATCCAAAAAAACAAAACCAAAAAAACCCATAAAAGTAATAAATAAATACATCAGCTTATCATTTATTTCAACCAGAGTGATGGTTATAAAAGGATTTATTGACAGAATTTGTTAGTTTTCATATCATTTCATACAATCTCATCTTTCTTAAAACCAGCACTGATAAAAATATCTAATTCCTGCAATTATGCATTAATGTTCTAACAAAATATTAACATTTCTGCAAATCCCCTTAAGCCCCAGCAACACTGAATCCATTAAAATTAATGTTCAGTCTATTTTAGTCAAGTGACATTTGTCACTCTAAGTATAGCAATCATGTGGGTAATGAAAGCCATGTAGAGATCCCTGCTGTGGATGGATCTTTAAGATCATAAAAATGTGAATTTGCTAAGCATGTAATCATTTAAACAACACGTCAGCTTGCTGTATCTTAACGTCACAAGAAGAAAACTACAAATTAATAATAGTTTACACAATAATGTCATAAAGTGAGGTAAGAAATCTTGGCTTTTCTCAGCTATTCTTAAAAATTTGCTTTCCTTACTTTAATTACTCTTGGCATAGGGCAAGAGTTAGATGACATGCAAAAACAGATGTCCATGTTCTGTGTCTTTTGCCGTGTATTAACAGTCTGAATTTGTCACCAGTCACAGTATTTCCCTTAAGAGCTCCCATAACAGGTTCTACATTTTTAATCCTTCTTTGTTTTGAATTTGTCCTCAACTAATCAGTCCCCCAGAAAAAAACAAAAACAAAAAACTCACAATTTGTACATTTTGTAGTTTCTAAAGAAGAACATTTTCAAACATGGCCAAACTTTCCTGCACTTAATGATTTAATGAAAGGTCGGTCACATCTCGCAACACCTCTCTTAAGCTGTTCGGTGCCAGATAACTTTTCAGTCTCAGTTTCAACTGAATCTTTAAACAATTTCTTTCAATAATACTTAATAATACTCAATAATCCAGTAATACAAAACTAAAAAATGCTCCTGCTATTTTAATAAATTAGTACACTGAAAATATTGTGTTATGTTTCCTAAATAAATTAACTTTTTCCCCCAATTCTTGCTGAATCCATTCAGGAATCAAAAGACCCAAGATGATTAGAAAATCAAAAGTGACAGACGGGACAGCCGCTGGCCAAGGTGAGCACTACATATAACTGTCTATTAGTGGCACTACAGAATAATCGACTAGCAAAACACTGTCTGTACAAATTTAAACGACTGATTTTTGCTTTATTATTCTAATTTCAACATCAATCTGCAACATGCAAGTGTTAACCAAATAAAATAAAAAGTACTATGACTCTAGAGGGAAAATTATTAAATTAGGTATGTTTGCATAATTCGGAATTTGTCTGCTAGTCATGAATGTACATTGTCTATTAAATTCCTCCTATTACTAAGACTATACCATACATCAGGCAGACAATATTACAGGTTTAAGCAAGCACACGTTCATTGATAAGCAGTAGCAATATAGAATAGGAAATGTGTACTGTAACCATTACAGTGCAGATTGTATATTGGTACTACTTTTTAAATAGTTATATAGCATAACTATTCATTAAATATTCTGCAGGTAAATTTATTAATTTTGTTAGCTTGTTTGTTTGTTTTTTGGGTCAGTTAAACTTATAAGTCAAATCCAATGTTACTACTATGCTGATCCATGCAGTACATGAGCTCCTGCTGCAGAGAACTACAGTGTTAAAGAAGGTAAAGAAAGCAACAGAAAAAAAATGTTAGCCATTTATCTACCTACTGCTCATGAAGGCATCAAGAACTCATATGCAATGAATTTCTTGATATGCATGTAATCTGTGTGAATATGTAGATGCATTACTAAATATCTGTTCTCAGGCTGAATTTTAAATATGGATTCATACAGAAGATGTAAAAGAGGTAAATCTGACTGAAACGCAAACGCTACTACATTTAGTATATAACTCAGAGTGGTGATAAGGTGAGTAACATTAACATTTTAAAACATCAAGTAATAGAATGTGTTTTCAGCAATGGTTTAAGGGGGCTTGCTTACAAAACAACAGATTTTGATGGCGAATACAATTACGGCTATGATTTTCATCCTTTTCCTTGCTCCGAGTGTCACATGTATTGCCACTGACATTTCATTTTCCAATTCTTGACAGTTGGGATCAAGAAAAAATCTAAGGTCCCTGGAGTGATGATTACACAGTTTATCGAGACGCTGCCAGAAGGAAAGAGCCATCCAGACTTCACCCGCAAGCCAATTGCTTTGACCATCCAAGAGGGTATGTTTCATAGCAAAAAAAATAATTTTAAACATTAATATTCAGGGGAAAAAACATCCCAAGGAAATATGTGATTCTGCTAAATGGATTAGATCAATTCAATTTGCCCAAAGAAAAAGTCTCTGCCTTTCAAAACCAAGAATTCTATGTCAGTAGAATTGCATAAACCGTGACTAAACATCTGCAGAAGTGACAATGTTACCAAATCTATTCTGCATAACACAAATGATCTTTTTGCTTCTGTAATGTGAATGCATTAACAGTTACTGTTCACCCATTTCAATTTAATATCCATACTAAATGTCACAGTATGTATTTGGATCTCTTCACTGTCTCCAGGGAGTGACCTGTCTTTTTTTTTTTTTTACAGGGAAATTTGCTTTCTTTAAAGCTATTGTCATTGGAGACCCAACACCAACTGTAACATGGAGCAGAAATAATGGAGATGTGTCTGATACTTCCCGGTACCAGAGTAAATACGATTCCCTTTCCAATGAGCACACATTTGAGGCAAGTGATACAGTAAAACTAAAGCAACATGTTCACATAAAGGAGAAGCAGATAATGTAAAGACAATCTAGAAGACAAAGATATTTGATTACATCAAAGGTAAATAATCTTTGTTACAAAAAGTACAGTTATACAATTTTCAATAATAACCACATTATTGACTTCCACACCACGAATTGTGATAAATTAGATCAAAATGAAATTTAACACATTTGGTTGTTAATTCTCTAGGTCCATTACACTCAGTATATCTTTTACTGTCCAGATGCCAAATGTTGCCCCAGATCAAGCAGATACCTACAAATGCTTCGCCACAAATGAATATGGACAAGCCACGGTCACAGTTGTTTTAAATGTGATTGAAGGTAAGGACTAATTGCTTTGTATAGATATGGAGATAGTGTGATGAAAGCAATCATAGAGTTATTAAATCTGCATGTATTTGAGTCTGCATGCAGATTCTGCCAAATTTGATACTTTGTTACTTCTACGCTTAAGGCTATTTCTGTCATTTCACTTTTTCCTACATAGTTGATAATGTATCATCTTTTTTTTACTTTCTAGTGGGCTTTAAAAAAAACAAAGCCCAAAAGCAAGCAGCTGATGCAATAGAAGGGGATTTTAAGAGTGTTCTAAAAAGGAAAAGGTAGGATTGAGGTAGTCTACTGATCACCATGCGTCATCTATAGATTTACAAATTGTTTACTATATCCATTTCCAGCAAGGTTCAACCCAAATCTGAGCAACCTGAGAAAAAAGAGGGAGAAATAGATCCAAAATTTTGGGAGCTTTTAATTAGCGCTGACAAGAAAGATTATGAGGGAATCTGTGCAGAGTTTGGGGTAACTGACTATCGTTGGATGCTCAAGAAATTAAACGAGATGAAGAAAGAGAGGGAGGAAGAACAAGCACAGGTCTGTGATTCGGTTCATGATTTTTTTTGCTTCCTTTATGAGGCTTGATGTTGACTATACAAGCTTAAATTTGTTTATAAGTTTATTCTTGAAAAAATAAATAAAGCTATTTAGTTGCAAAAAAAATGTCTGTTTGCTTTCCTTTTATTACTTCCTCTGTTTTTTTCCCAGTTCGTCAAAAGCCTCTCTAATCTGAGACCTATTCAGGTCAATGCAGATGGCACTGCATCCTTTGAGATAGACATGGACCTCATTGAACAAAGCAGCTCTATATTCCTGTACAAGGTAAGTGATAGAATGAAGTCCTAACGCTACTAAACCATAATAGTAGAAAACAATGAATAGAGTCATTTTCTAGGACCACCCCAAAATACCACAGCCATAATATGACGAGTGCTTGCAAAGATGCATCAAGATAATTAGATGATATATACCAAATAACAACCTTTGAATTCATTTTTTATGTTTAAACATTAGATATGCAGCTTTGGTAATGAGTTTTTACTTTTTTTTAATGAAATCCTGTTATAATGCTATCAATATTTAATCAAATAAGACTTTTTTGTTTTGTTTTGCTATTGTCTTGCAGCTACATTGTGCTATGCGAGTACAAAAACATGTGAAAATAACAATGTATATACACACTCCACAGGATGGTGAAATGATCCCTTACACAAAAGAACTGGGTGATAAGCTCAAGCACAGCCTTAAGAAAACTGGAAAAAAGTACATTTTCAGCATGAGAGACCTAATGCCAGAGGATGCCGGGCTGTACCAGTTGGATGTTGAGGATGTCAATATGTTTTCCACTGATTTTAAAAGTAAGCATTTTTACAATTGCACATGACACAACAAAATGAAGGATGTTGAAATAAATTCATGTATAATGTAGTATAATAAACAAATGTCTTATTTTTTAGTCCCCATGGTGGATTTCTTGGTGAAGATTCAGGAAGTAAAGGCAAAAGAGAGAGAAGATGCCGTATTTGAGTGCGTCTTGTCAAACCCCTTTGCCAAGATTTTGTGGTTTGGCAAAAATGTGCCACTGGAACAGGGAGATAAATATGACATTGAGGTTTCAGAAGACAAGCTCATTCACAGGCTGGTGGTTAAAGACTGCATGGTGGCAGATAAAGGAATTTATTGTGCCTGTGCAGGGATAAAATCTTGCAGTGCTTGGCTTGTCATTGAAGGTATATTATCTCCCACCAAAAGGCTATCTTATAATATATGATATAATTAACTGACAATATTTTTTGAAAGATTAGATTAATTTAATCTATTATTGAGTTCATGACATAAAATACATTTTTTTTAAGTGCACACTGTCACAAATCTAATTGTCTTTCCCAATTCAGCTGATAAAGATGCACCAAAGGGTAAAAAGACAGCAAGGAAAACAACAAGGGCAGGGGGATCTGGGCAGGATTTACAGAAAATTGCCCAAGAGCAACAAGCAAAACTAGAAAAGGAGAAAGAGGAAAGAAAAGAGCAAATGAAAGCTTCTGAAGAGGCTGCACCTCCACCTGCTGCACCCACTGACACTCCAGTTGTGGCTGCAGCTTCCAAACCAAGTAAGAATGCCCAGAAGTGGTTTTAAATGAACATTAACCACATTAACCAAGAGAGAGAAAATGTCATTTTAGATAAGTGTGATGCAACTTTTCATATGAATATTATGTTGTTTATGTGGTTAGTCAACTTTTGTTATTATATGGGTAATTATAATGTGTTAATCTATCAACCTCTGACTTGTTTTTTTTTGTGTGGTAAATGAACCAACAATGACAGGTTCACATCCACCAGTTGTGGAGGCACCAACCACTGGTAAGATCCTAAAATTACTTTGAGAACTAAAGTCCTTCTTACATCTAACTATTTAAAAGTATTATTTATGTAAATCACTTATTGTTGTTATTGCCATCAGGCCACTCACCTGAGGAAACCAGTGGTAGTGAAATGCTAAATCAACCACTTGCATATGCAGGTATGCCAGATAGTTAAAACTGAAAAAAAAAAAACACTACAGTACTAACAATATAGAAAGACTAATAAAATATCTATATGGTAGCTTACACGATTTTAACAGAAGTGTAAAAAATAACACATTAACATCAATGTATTTTTTTATTCGAACCCCTGCTTACTTTTTTAATGCAGATAGATTTTAATTAGACAGAATATCAACGAAAAATCCAGAGGGGAAAAAAAACAAAAAAAACAAAAAAACAAAACGAATGACATAAAAGTTATAAACTGATTTTAATGTCATTGAGCGAAATAATATTTGGTCCCTTACAACTCAATCAGTGAATCAATAAAACCTGCTAAAGGCTAGAATGTGCCATGAGACCATCAACAAGAAGCTTGGTAAGAATGTGACAACTGTTGGTGCAATTATTAGGAAATGGAAGAAAAACAGCCTACAATCGCCCTCGGTCTGGAACTCATTGAGTAAAATAAGTATTTGATACCCAAGAAAAAAAAACAAAAAACTTAGTACTTGTGTGGAGGAACCCTTGTTGACAAGTACACTGGTCATATGTTTCTTATAGTTTCTGTTGCACTTTTTCAAGTTTTTCAGTACCGCTTGCTGATTATTTAGCATTAGTGTTTGCAGACAGTTCCTATAAACAATAGGCAACAGTAGGAATCTGTTAGCAACCAAAGTATTTCCAAAAAGGTATCTGGTACAGCAGCCCTTTTGTGAATGATTTCATCTAGCAGCAACTATTCACAAGCTGGTCAGGGAATACACATTTTCCCTAACAACTGGTGGTTACCAGGGGTTCACTGGTGATTTTCAGTCTGTGTTATAGAGACTTATACAGACTCAGGCCTAAAGTGGATTTTAAGTTGGGAGTCTAAAGGGACTTTCTTGTCTATGGAGCCAGTAACTGCAGCAATCCCCAGATGTGGTCACTTGTTTGTTTCACAAACTTGTTAAACTATTGAAGAATTACAGAAAAACCTTCCAAAACATCTAGAAAGTTCTCACCTTCATTTAAACATAGCTATTTACTGAAATGAATAAAAATGAAACATTTAAATACTGTATGTTTTCTGTTTTTATTCAATATGCATGCAGTTTTAAAGACAAAGCTTCATCACAAAGAATGCCAAGAGGATTCTAACTGCATTTATGTTTCCTAGAGCCTGAAATTACCTCTGGGCTTTCTGATATTTATGCCCTTCGAGGAAAATCAGCTGAATTGCAAGTGAAGATGAACATTGACAGTGATGGCACCTGGTTCAAAGATGGAAAGCAGGTAAAGCCAATGAATAAGTATTATTAAATCTATATTTTTCCATTTTAGATAGCATTTGGAATAAGTTAGTATTATGAAAAACAAGAAAACTCTACCTACAATATGTTTCTATCATTAACTAATTTTTTATAAAAAAATTGTGTTAACAAAATTGCCATATCAGGTACTTTCCCTTTGCTTTTTTAATTTCCTTTTTAGTTAAACTCAGGTGCTGGGATGACCATAACCAAAGATGGAAATTCTCATGAGCTAAGAATTCAAAGCTGCAGTGATGAAAGCTCTGGAGTTTATCAGTTTACATCAGGGGAACACAGCACACAAGGGAAGGTTACAGTTGGAGGTATAATATACTTTCTCTCGCTGTTACACTTCTATTAAATGGCAAAAAAGTTACAGATCTTTAAAATGGACTTGTGCTTTGTGTTTCATAGATGTACCCGAGTTTGATCCAGATGACCTTCACAAGTTCTCTAAACCTGTGATAGTAAGAGTGGGACAAAATGCTGCTTTCAAGATGCCCTTTCCTCCTCAGGAGTCTTTGGAGGTCAACTGGTTCAAGGATGGCACTAAGCTGAAAGATGGAGGAGGAGTTAAGATTGTGAGGGAGCGCAATCACAGCCGCCTGTTGTTCAGAGACTGCCTGCGGATAGACACAGGGGAAATAAAGATCCAGCTGAAAAACCCATTTGGAGCCATAGAGGCCACATCTAAGCTTATTGTGCTTGGTATGGAAACAAAGATAAATATATGAGAAAATGAGGTTTTCTAAAGGGTAAATCAATAAACTTTCTAATATTTGTTAACTCCCATACTTATGTTTAAAATTTAACATGATATCTAGATCGACCCGGTCCACCAGAGGGTCCAGTGAAGACGGTTGAAACTACCTCATCAATAATTGAGATTAAATGGGACCCTCCCAAAGACGACGGCGGATCTGCTGTAACCAACTACACTATAGAACGGCAGCAGACAGGACAGAGTCTGTGGACAAAACTTGGAGACGTCTCAGCGGACAAGACCTCCTTCAGAGATAGGAATGTGACACATGGAAAGAAATACAACTATCGCATCTATGCAGAAAACCCTGAGGGTATTAGTGATGCCCTGGAGACAGCTGAAAGCATATTGGCTGGCATAATGAGTGAGTGTAGAAAAATGAAGTCATGTTTAGTGTTTCTCAGCAAATCCAAATGAAAATGCCTTCATGTAGCTTTTGTGATTGCTTTAAATACTTTATCATTGGAACAGCTACAATAGAAATCTAACATTTTATCATGGCTGGATTTCTGCTCCATCTTTAAGAGAAACTGCTTGCAAATGTCTTTGATTAATTTAAGTATGTCCTAAATATTAAGGATGAGATTATTTAATTAATTAGACTTCTTACAATTTTTTTAGTACTCGCCGGTCCTCCTGGTGCTCCTACAGTGGTAAGTGCTTCAAAAACCTGTATCAACTTGACCTGGACCCCTCCAGAGGATGACAAAGGAGTGCCGATCATTGGGTACCAAGTAGAGAAACGGAAGAAGGACACAAATGAGTGGATGCCCCTAAATGCAGTTAATGAACCTATTGAAGGTTTGTAAAACAAAAATAATTTCTACTCCTAAAGAACAATTAGCACCTTTCTTTAAAGAAAATTGACTCTTTTATCTTGACATTAATCATATTTTTCCAGACATAAAGTACGCAGTCAAAGATATCACTGAGGGTTCAGAGTACGAGTTCAGGGTTACAGCAATCAATGAGTCAGGATCTGGAGATCCAAGCCCTCCATCTGAAATGGTGTGTGCAAAGAATCCCAACAGTAAGTCTTGACATGCTTCAGTGTGAATATAAATGATTACCTTAGTTATCCAGAGCAGGGATTTTTTTTTTCCTGCATGAATTTGAATGTTTTATGTGTTTTATATCCAGTGAGACCTTGTTTTAAGGATCCAGAGGACTTCATTGTTGTCAGAGCAGGAAATTCTGCTCGTGTCAAAATTTGCTTTGAGGTATGAATGAACCTAAAATCAGGTTTCCAAGTATTTTTTCATCCCTTAATAACTCTTAAATCTGTCATGCCAGTATTTTCTGCATTTACTTCCCTTGTCATATTTTTTGAGTTGTAAGTTCACCACAGCATGACAAGGGAGGATTTGCCTCACATTTAAGGTAATTTATCCAATATCAATATCTTCAGGCTGAACCTCCACCTCAGATCACTTGGCTGAAGGATGACGAGAAAATATCTGCGTGGATTAATATCATAAATACAGAGGGAACATCTCAGCTTGTTATTCCCAATTCAAAGCGCTCGGATTCAGCCATCTACACTATTAAAGCCAAAAACTCTGTGGGTGAGGCTTCATTTGACATTGAACTTAGAGTCACAGGTAAGGACATAGATATCAGCCTATGATTAATGTAAAACAGGTTGTATCACTACTAGTTTCTGTACTTAGTGAAATATATAATAGACTATATTGTTATTCAATTTGCCGAACTGAACCAGAGTATTAGCAAAATAATTATCCCACTTTCTGTAACTTATTCTGTTTTTTGCTAGATGAACCCAAGGTTCCAGGGCCTGTGGAACTAGAGCAAACAGTACATGGAAAGCTAGTGATATCATGGGCTCCCTCACCAGACCAGGAGCTTGATGACCGCCTGCACTACATGGTTTCTCAACATGACTCCCTCAACAGAGTTTGGAAAACTATAGCAGACCGTCTATTCACTAACACATACACAGCTAGCAACATCCTTTCTGGGACAGAGTATCATTTTCGAATCTATGCCAAGAATGATATGGGACTGTCAGATCCATCTCCGTCACCTACATGGGGCACCAACATCAATAAAGGTGGGCTAGTTATTTTGATTAACGGTGAACTAAACTATAGGGTGCATTAGTTTGATAATTTAGGTGCTTTCCAGTGACCATAACAGCTAATTTGTCAGAAACAAACATTTTCATGAAATGCATTTTGTGTCATTTAAAATCTAGTGTCATCACTGTAGGCACACCCTACATTAATAATAATAATGTAAGAGGTACCATAATTTGAACAACCAAGAACAATCAAACTATTAGAATGATTCTGAGGTTTTCCTCGTGTATTTAAACCTGCCTGGCTAACCCAGGCCAACATATTATAAAAGACTGCAAGTTAAAAGTGGACAATACACTGTATTAAGAGCTAAAAGTACAGTATATACATTTTTTAAAACAGAAATCATCTCATCATTCCCTTTATTGGTATGTCTTGGTTAATGATTGCATTATTCTGATTTGTTTGTGTGATGTGTTTTGTCAGTTTTCTTAAAAGAATGGCATATTTAATAAAATGTATCCCAATGTATACTTATGCTTCCTGAGCCTAATAGATAAAGGAGTTTAATTTAATTAAATACATTTTTCTAAACTAAAACGAAAGTCCTGGATCTATAAAAAGAAAACAAAATTAAACTTAAGCAAAACATATGTTCACCTGGTGGGACAAGAGAGAACAATAGCTACCATGCACTTTAAAACAATTAGCCAACAGTTGCGCTCCAGCTCAGAAACTACCTTACTTCATTCCCTGCCAACCTCAAAAACACACATCAGATAGACTGGGCAGAGTCATCACAGTTATGAAGTTGTCCTTTCTCAAATTTAGCACACAATATAAAGGCTTTGTTTAGTTGTATCATGTGTGGGACGCCATACTATGACAACTTCTTCAGCGTCAGTGTAAATTCTCCAGATGATTATTATTCTTACATTCGCTCACTCTGACATTTCCCAGACAAACAGGCACAGACTGCATTAGGGAGCTGACAGGATATGTATTCTCATATTGAGCTCTACCACATATCAAGAAAAGTTCAGGGTTGCACTGGATATGTAAAACTGTTATAATGCTGCTATTTGAAATATGATTAGTACGAAGCAATTTTGCAAATATTCTTGGACCTTTATTGACATTATTAAAATCTGACTTTAAATACTAACTTTGAACACTCCTTCTCTTTAAGTTCCAGTAACTTCAAATGGAATTATTTCCACAGAGGTCTCCTTTGAGAGACCTCCATCTATCTTGGTCCCTCTGAAAGTCCACACACCACCTAAAGGTTACCAACTCTTTATGACATGTGCCGTTAGAGGATATCCCGCCCCAACTGTATCCTGGTACCTGAACGACATCTGCATCAACTCAGACAATAATTACTACATCACCAACTCTTTTGGTGTCTGCTCCCTGTATATTCTCCAAGTTCGGTCGAAGGACAGTGGGGAATATAAGGTAGTCGCAGTTAACTCTTTTGGCAAGGCAGAGTGTTCCGCTAAAATTTTTGTCAGAGGTAAGCTTTATTTAAGAGTATTATTATATTTTTGTAGTTTGTGATGAAGGGTTTATTCTTATAATTGTTTTGCTTTTTTTTCTGAACAGATTAATTGGCAACAAACCTTTGTGGAGCTTTTCTTCTTACTGAGATCCTGTGGAAAATACAGAAATAAAATGAATGAATTTTTTGGTTTGCTATATAAGAGAAATAATATACTTTCGATACAAAGTTTGGGAAGAAAAAAAAAGAGCTTTAATGCAAACTCCTTTGATGTATCTGAAGTGCAATATCTACAATTGTTACCCTGTCACTGGTAATAATAACTATTAAAATGAGTGAAGTGGCAATCTTCAGTATAAAAACATCTGTCAAATTGTAACTGTAATAAATCAACAAACTGATGTGTACTCAGTGTTCTGCCTTCTCACTTATTCTTGTTTTATTGAGAACTTTTTCTATTTTTCACTGATACAAAGCATTGCATGGGTTTCAAGCACCACATGGCTCCAATTTATGAGCCCATGACAACATGCACGTCACAGTTCTACATCAAGCACTTATGATCCAAGTGTGCATTTTATTTCATTCCCACATATATCCATTTCCTTTACATACTTATTCATGTAGATCTAAATAAAAAGACATCGATTTGCATTTTATCTAGTGTTGTAAAGCTACTATGAAAGAAGTCCATGTTGACAATGAGAATAGTTACTGTACTAGATCTAACCTGTTCATTTAGATAAGATAAGATAAGATAGGATAAGACTTTATTGATCCCACAACGGGGAAATTTTTGCGTCACCTCAGCTCAGGTACAGATATCAGAAGGAAATACAAAAATACAATAAGTACAATCAATGAAAAAAAGTAAGATAATACACTACATACAATGGTAGCATACACAGTATGTGATTATGGATATGGTTGGAAATATGGAAGACATAAACTATATAGCTTGATATAGCTGTTGTACCACTACTATTCCTGTTTATAGACATGTACACACTAAATATACATATGTATAGATATACATACATATATACCTGCACATGTCCATACACATGGAAGGTGTTCCATCTGTGAAGATGTTCACAGTGTCCAGTGACTTATGACATTGTGTTTGAGGAGTTATAGAGTCTAACTGCTGTTGGGATGAATGATCTGCGAAAGTGTAGCAGTGTATAGTTACTGAATAGAGTAAAATAATGCAGCAATGATCTTATATTAACCCAGCTTCAAGTCTCAGAATCAGAATACTTTATTAATCCCTAAGGAAATTGTGTAAATGTCTACTAGATTATGTAAAAGTCCTTACCGCATTTCCCTCCATTGTCAGCTCAGTGGTGATATTCCTGATGTCATCAGAGTTTTCTTGCAGTTGAGTGATTTACTTTAAAAAGGTCAGAGTAACTATTCTAACTGCGCTGATATGCCACACTTGTTTAACCTCTGACTGCTAACCACTGCTCAGTACACAGAGTTCAACATACCACCAACACCACAAGCAACCACCTTTCTATAATGCCAAAGCAGACACAGTGTGACCTCCCAAATACCAAAGGCATGCTGTGAGAATTTCCGCTGATACATTTAGCGGCCTATTGGAACAGTCAATCTGTTCATTTCAATTAGAGATTATTTTACCAAATAAAATGTCTCATGTTAATGTTTATTGACCAATAAAGTCCATAGTACAGTGATCATATTACTATAGACCTCGTGAAGCTGCCAGTCAAAACCTTTAAGTTAGATAGTTTGCCTATAAAATGAAATTATAGGCATTATAAGTCTGAACCTTGAACCATGGAGTATGGTAATAACCATCCCTAATGTAATTGTAATTAATGAGAATATGCTGGAATCCATCTTAGTTTTATTTGAATCTGGTGCAATTTAAATCTTCATATTAATATACAGTGCTGATGGGATTTTTATGTTCTCAACAGTAATGTTTGAAAAGTGTTGACTCAGTATCTCCAATGCCAGATTGAATGAACAGTCATAATGTATTTCCAGTGACAACTGCAAAGTGATCGCTTTCATAGAGATGCGTAAGATGAGCCTCGAGCCTTTACCAGCGTTGTAATATGGATTTTTACCAACTATCCATGTAAGGGTTTCTATGTGCTCCAAACGTTTATCACCGAACAAAAAGGAGTGTCCCCTTTGAAATATTGGGTAGTGAGAAGAGCACAAGTTGAAGGCGGATAACTGATCAGAGACGACAAAAAACAAAAAGTGAGTACAACTTATGTTATTAGAAAGAATGTATGTTAGTAATTTTAATCAGTGTCCCAAAAGAACTACTAAACTAATATTTTAAACATGAGGTTTGACTGAAATTCTTATGCAGTGCTTTTGACAACCAAGCAAATTCGTCAAGACTTTTAGTACTATTTTATAACTATGGCACACCAAAAAGGTATTATTTGACTGAAAGTGCAGTCTAGTTCTAGTAAATGATTATCCTGTAAATTTACACCTATAATAAATATATAATAATAATGTTAAACATAATTTAATAAAGAAAATTATCAAGATATTTTCAGTTGCTATAGAAGTCAAATAATACTGAAAACAGAAAAACAGAAGACAAAGATCCTGGAGATTTTATGACTTGGTTGTATATTACCATTTGCATATCAGTGCAAAATTGATATATCAAAGTGATGTCTTTCTGATGATCTTCTTGTGTGGTAGTACAACCTTTAATGCAATACAGTCAAAAAATCAATTTCTACAACAATTCTATGAAAAGGAGAAACATTAATTGATCTTTTGAGATCAGTCCTAACATTTAAGATCTCAACAATGAATGACATTTAACTGTGTGACTTTCCCATTTGGCTTCCCATGACTTACAAAAGACTGAACCTATAAATCAGGTCTGAACTACAGACACTGTGACACATCAAAGCTTAAGCTTTTTTTTTCTGGGTTGTAGATGAAGGTCAGATATGCTTTTTCACATTTTCAGTGTCTCTTTTATGGTCCTAAAAATAAAACACTGTATAAAAAAGCCTTATGGCCATAATCTTGATATAAGGTCCATTTTGTTCTAATTAAAAGCCTCTCAGCTCTATAGCCATTAAAATATTTACTGAACTAACTTAAAGATTAAAAATAACCTATACGAAGCATTTCTTTGGTTTACTATCCACTGTTATTTAAGGTTCCACTTTTCACTTAAGAAAATGTGTACTGAACTTGAAGTTTATTTTTAAATTAGACTTAAAGAAGTGCAGTCATCTTCTTTTGAAGCTATTATGAGCTGGATGACTAAGAGTCTACATAGAGATATCCCTAAGGAGTATTATAAAGCAAAGGAGCAGTTTTAAGTATTGATGGCATAAAAAAAAGATATACAGGTTACTTCATCGCCTTATCACTTTGATATAAACACTGAGCTCTCTTCTATGTTTGGATCCTGAGCAGTTAAATTGTTGGCACAGCCACCTGACTCCACGGGCAGTTGGGTGGAGTGAGTCACTAGGTGGGATTTCACATTCCCCATTTACAGTGTCCCAGCATGTCTCCAACTGTCTGCACAAGTCACGCATCAAGGAAGTCAAGGAATTCCCAGTTTAATGATACATGAGAAGATGCTTGAAGGCAGGATTTTTCAAACTCTAGTTGCCCATGGCTCTGTTTCTAGGTGCCCTTGATTCTTGCCACACTAGCAGCTACTAGAAAAGAATGGTTAAGTGAGACTGAATATAACTGTGACTGCAAAAGAAAAAAAAAAATATTAAGACTTCTCATAATTTTTGCTGCAGTAAAGAAATAATATATTTTCTTCTAGATGTTTCCTTTATGAAATGTATTTAATAATCTCAGCTAAAGAAACTACTTACATGCAAAAAATAAATAGATAAACAAATAACTGATAAACAAAACTTTGTTCGAGTTTCCTGCAAACTGCTGATTATGTAGATATAAGGGAAACATAATAAAATACAGGATGAATTTGGTCATATATGGACAATATGAAGTATGAGTACTGAAAACTGTACCTTTTTTATCATGTCAGCAGCAATTTTCTTTCATTATTATTCAAGGCTAAATTTGTATAAAATGTATAAAACATAACATCCACTCACCCACTACATCATTAGTTACATCTTGCTAGAACTGAGTTTGGCTCATGTTGACACGATAGTATCACAGAGTTGGTGCAAATCCATGCAAATCTCCTATTCCACCACATCCTAAACCTGCTCTGCTGGATAGATATGGTGACTGTGGAAGCTATTTAAGTACAGTGAACTCATTGTCATGTTTAAGAAACCAGTTTGAAATAATTTAAGCTTTGTGACACGACACCTGGCTAGGAGTAGCTTCCAAAAGATGTGTACACAGTGGCCATAAATGGCTGGATATGCTCAGTGACAATACTCAGCTAGGATGGGGTGTTTTTATACAATGTTCAATTGTTTGAAACACTCTGGCCATTCTCCTCTGACTTCTAGCATCAAAAAGCATTTTCACCTAGAAAACCGAAGGTCACTTTTCTCTTTTTTGAACCATTCTCTGTAAATAATTTCTGAAATACTCAGACCAGCGTGTCTGCTACCAACAATCGTGCCATATTCAAAGTCACTTCAGTCACCTTTTTTACCCCCATTCTGATGCTTAGTTTGAACTTAACTTGGTTGTCTTGACCATTTCAACATACCTAAATGCACTGGTTTCCTGCTATGTGATTGGCTGATTAGATATTTCCATTAACAAGCAGTTGAACAGGTGTAACTAATGAAGTGGCTGGTGAGTAGATGTAAGGCTTTTTAATACTGATGAAATCAGCTTTGATTATAATGACAGCATTAGTTAACAGTGACAGTCTTTCTTTGTACTTTAGCCACACAAGGATCGCACCTCTGATCTGATAATCAACAATCAAACATCGCCATGAGTTCAAAAACAAACCAGGACCCAAAAGCCTTTGGTAAGTATGAAAAATGTGATATTATATATTATATATATTATATATTTCTAGCTTCTATAAAAACAGCAACAGCTGCTGAGTCTAGCAAGTCTACCATGGGAAGTAAAGGGATGGAGGTTTAGGTTCCTTTATTTGTACCCGTAAGTAGGATTAACTATCATTCAGGATCAGACTACTTAACTCTCATTGACTTGCTAATGTGAAACATTAGCAAATATAAACTATGGACAGCTATTCCCTAATAAAACAGAGCCAGAGGAGACTGAAATCATTAATGGTCCAGCTTTGTAGTATACCAGTGTTTCACAGTAGACAAGCTCACTGTTCTTATAACCTTTTGTAGGCTGCACATCCATCTGACCTACATCACACCTTGGGTGATCAGCTAATTCAGTTTAGATCATTCATCAAGCCTGGAGATAATAAAACCCCAGCTGGATTACTCAAGATAATTCTAAACTACAGACTGCAATAAATGTTTTCAAATATTACTGTTGTGCTGCAGTCGTTGCTGATTCTGCCTGTGGGTAGCTATAACAGAGAGCAGGCATTTCTGCTTCTATCCAGGATAAAAATGAACTGAGAAAACAAATGTTGCAAAAAAAGACTCGGAGCACACTTTCTCTCATGGCAACTGCAGGCAAATCCACTAAAAAACTGGAGAATCGTGTAAATGATGTCTATCGTTATTTTATGCATATATTTATCTCTTTTGATGTTTAACATGATGTCATTCTTCATTGTCACCTGTATCTGAACTGAACTGACCTTTTTTGTGTTCGCTCCACTGCTATGCATTTACTGTTTAATGCAGAAGTCCCTATGGTTATGACACATATTTAATTTTGGAAAAATTATATGAATAACAATTAGGATTAATAATTCCTTCTGCACTGCCATACAGTCTGCTATTCTCGCACTGAATAATTTGTGTGTGTGTGTGGGGGGGGGGTTTCCACTGCCCAGGGCCTATAGCTTCAGAATAATCCGTTTATATCACAGCTGGACTCCCATCTAGCTCTAAAGACATTCTAGGGATGCCTCATAAATGAGATATTTTAGTTTTCTTCTTCATAAGGAGGATAATCTGCAGAGTATACAGTATTGAAACAAACTGACATACACGTTCACTGTGATTTTACTTGTAAAGGTGAAAATAAAAAAAATAAATGAATGGACATTATAAAAAGTAAGCATATGGTTTAGCTGGGTTTACAGCAGGAATATCTACTTTATACAGTCAACAAATTCTCACCAAATGTCTTCCTGCCAAGGTCCCTGCTGCCAAAAATCCAAAAATTCTTCATGTAGTAATTGCTATGCAGAAAAAAAGCAAAAATGCTCTCCTGCTAGATTATGTCTAAATCAATGCTTCAGTTACAAGTTTATAAGAATCTTGCTTGTGTCCAGATGATATAAGCATGTGCATCAACCCCTTGACAGATTACACATAAAGTTTGATGAATATTAAATAAATGCCCTCAAACGATGTTAAAGCCACAGAAAAAAAATATGCAGAGTAGACAATCTCAAAGTGACTCACAGAAGGCATGACCAAAGAAGTTATCCCTGGATACTCCATGTCTGATCAGATTTGTTTTTTAGTTTAGTTTTTTTTTGTTAATTTCCTCCTCACTGAATAAATCTGAATATGATTGGTATCTCCATATTTAACTCTGGCATAGTTTGGTAACAAAAGTATGGTTTAATATAATATATTTAAAAAATATATTACAATGATGTTTAGACAGTTTGGATTATATATGCTGAATTATGTTAATATAAAATGTAGTAGTAAACACATACTAAATGTACAAGCCCCAGAGTGCTTAATGCCGCTGAGCTGAACACCATGCATTTATCTAAAACCAGCAATAAGTTAAATGAACTTAGTGCTCTATAACATGTCTATATGATTGGAATTTTGAATAAGAGCAAAAAAACAAACAGAAAACCCTGAATAATATGCTACGTGTCTTTTTGTTCTCACAAAGAACACAGTTAGTGTTTAATACAGTAACAGATCCTAAAACTTAGTCGATCTACTGACTTTACAACTCTATAATGACTTCTTAAATAGACACACTTACAACTTGTCCAAGACACAATTTTTATTGCAATTTTTTACAATAACAATTTCCTAGCATTTATGTTTTTCCATGCATTCCTGCTGGTTTATGTCACTTCTTGGTTAAAATAAAAATAAATAAAAATAAATGAAAACGTATCATGCTAACAGGTTAAAACCGTCTAATTTTAAAATAAAAGTCCTCCAAAAATCTATACATAAATTAAACATTTAACGAAAAAATTACATTAAATTAATACATTAAATTAATTAAACAACAAAAAAAATGTGTAGAATTTAATCCAAACTTCAGCTTAGTCAATAGAGTTTAACATATTTCAAGATCTTGCCATGACCTAGCTGTAACATTAAGAAAAGTAAGGAAATGGTGACCTCTTGTGAAATTCCAGTGTGAAACTGCAACTGTTCTAAATAATATATACTCTGCAGACACATGCATTTGTAACATCTATGTTTTTCTGTTGGTAGCAGGCTTCCTGTTCATGTTTACATTCATAGCATCAACCAGCTATGCTGTTAAACACCAAACCTTCCCTTGACAGTGGCTATCAAGAAAAGGTCCAGGGTTCCTGGGGTTATGATCACTCAGACTGTGGAGCAACTGCCACCAGGGAAATCGACCCCCGACTTTACCCGCAAACCAATTGCTGTGACTGTCCAAGAAGGTAGAAAAACAACCATAGCCAGTGAAACTGACAATAACAATAGAGCATAATTATTAACACCTGCATCACTGTCATGATTTCATTATTTCAGGTAAAAAAGCCTTTTTCAAAGCTATGGTTAGTGGAGAGCCAGCACCAACTGTGACATGGGGGCGTAATAAAGGTGAAATAGATGACCCAGAAAAGTACAAGACTAGATATGATGAAAGAGCTCGAGAACACATTCTTGAGGTAAGAACAAAATAAAAGGATTGGGCTAATGATAATTTGCCAACTTTAATTTTTCAAGCTAAACATTTTTAAAGTCAAGAAATTCTTTTTTGAATATTCATTAACAATTAAAACAACAGTTGTAACTCTAAGTGTACAATATTCCTTTAATTTTTAAACTTGTAGTAATTGTAGGTGTCACGGGCCTGCAGCTGCAGACTGTGTGGCGAGAGAATAAGGACCCAAACGCGGACACTTGAAAACATGAGTGGGTTTAAACAAAAGGGGAGCCTTTTATTTAGGCTGAATGAAAATCCAAATAGAAGTCAAATGAAAATTTAATGAAGACTTAACTAAACTGAGCGAACTAAAGCTAAACACTAAACACAGGGATTACGGAAAATGAGACCTGGACATGGATCGTGAAATGCAGGTAACCTGACAGGGTACAAAGAAAAAACAGAGGATGATTAAGAAGAGTGGAAACAGAAACATGGCTGGGAAAAATAGACATAACCACACAGGGGAAGCAACACTAAACACACTGAACAATGGGACGAGAGACTGTCTATATAAAATAGGAAACACACTAGGATGCAGACTGAGACACGCACTTGACACAGGAGGAAAGAAGGCACATAGGAACAAGACGGACTGGGAAGTTGAAGGGAGGAGACAACAAGAGGGAAACATGGAAGCGAGGGAGAGAGGTAGCGAGACCAAACAGACACAACTGGGGAAACATACACAGAAGACATGACAGACTGATAATAAACTCGAACTTAAAACATCTTCATAATACGATGGAAGAAATAAACAACAGATAAACTCAAGCCTAAAATATCCTAATAAAGCAAAGGGTCATGAACCAAAAGGAAAACCCAAAAAGCTTGGTCACAGACCCCAAACCATGACATATGGTGCTAAAGCTCCATAACCAAGTTTAACTTTTTTTGGGAGATAGACTCAGATATTGATTCCACTATTGTCAAATATTTACATATTTCACGTGAGAATCATTTTTTGTCAGATAATCAACATCAATCCAGACCAAGCAGACACTTACAAGTGCTTTGCCACCAATGAATACGGAAAAGCTGTCTGCACCACCACTCTCAATGTCATTGCAGGTGAGCTTTAAAGTTAACAATAAAAACTGAGTTAAACAACTTTACAATATACCATGTCTGGTAATTAATGACTTCTTGTTCTATTGTTGTTTTCATGCATGTATGAAGCCGGCTTCAGGAAGAAGAGCAAGGGAGGTAAGAAAGCATAGTTTAACATGAACTGGTTTACTTTTTCTAATAGCGTCCAATCCACAAGTTTCTTTTTAGAATTACAGACTTTTAGCATATTTATTCTTTGCAAAATTTTACTTCGGTAGCAAAATTAGTTTCTTTTTTATTGCAAAATAGTAAAATTTAAACAAAAATTGACAGAGCCTTATAAGAATCCTTCACAATTAGATTTGGAAAAAAAATACCACAAAGTGAAAAAAGTGTCCAGATGGCAGAATTTTATTTTAAAATTTAAGTCAAAATTTCTTTCAGGAGGTCAGCAGGAACCACAGGATTTTAGATCAATGCTCAAGAAAACGTAAGTTCACATCAAAGTCAAATTATTCAAAATCTGTTCTGCGTGTTGTAATGGCCTCCAATGCCCTTTTTTAGTGTTGTTGTCACTAGGAAAAAGCAACTCCCACCACAGAAAGAGGGAGAAATTGATCCTAAACTCTGGGAACTGCTTATAAGCGCACCAAAGAAAAATTATGAAAAAATCTGCTTGGATTTTGGGGTTACTGACTTTCGGTGGATGTTGAAGAGATTGAACCAGATGAAGAAGGAAAGGGCAGACGAACAGGCAAAGGTACTGTGTAAATTAACAGTTGCACATGAATTCTGGATTTTGTATCCTGAACCAACAACATGTTGCTGAGTTTAAACAAGTAAGAAGGTTGACTTGCATCTTGAGCTTTACTTTAAAACCTGGTAGTTCATCCTGCTAAAGTCTGCTTGGTTATTTTAAATGTTTCTGATTTAATTCCTTCCATTTTTTCAAAACGTGATTACTTAAGCAGTAAAGTTTAAAACAAAACTTGCAGACACATACATTAGATAAAACTTCTTATCTTTCCTTTATAGGTTGTAGAGCAGCTGGACAATGTGAAACAAATTGAAGTGAAACCAAACGGAAAAGCTGAATTTGGATTTGACATGCAGCTATGGGATCCCAATAGTGCAGTTAACTTATACAAGGTGAATTTAAAAGCATTCTAAAACAGCAAAAAAATATATTTTTAATAAAACTTGCTAAATAATAATTTAATAATGAAAATAAATATATAAATAATAATGTTACTACTTCTGTCTCAAAAGGATGGCGTAATGGTTCCTTATGCAGATGATGAAAATTCAAAACATAGCCTTAGGAAAAAAGGAACAAATTATATATTTAGCATTAAAGACCCTCAGCCAGAAGATGCTGGATTTTACCAGGTTGATGTCGAAGAGGCAAATGTTCTTGCAACTGACTTCAGAGGCAAGTGAAACTACTCTTAAAGTTTATAAAACAAATCAAGTACACTTATATTTTGGAAATGAGATCATCTTGGGTTTCAAAATCTACCTTTTTTCCTCTCTTAGTGCCTGCAGTGGAGTTTGTAGACAAGATTAAGGATGCTAAGGCTGTTGAAAGTGAGGACGCTGTATTTCAGTGCGTTTTGTCAACACCACTCAACAGAATTACTTGGTCAAGAGAAGACTCCTCACTTGAACATGGGGACAAATATGAGATCACCGTCTCAGAGGACAAACTAACTCACACATTAAGAGTAAAAGATTGTGAAATTGCAGATAAGGGGGCATATTATGCCATTGCTGGTATTGCTTCCAGCAGGGCCTCTCTCATGGTGGAAGGTGGGACATTTTTCTTTTTTGTAATCACAAAGCACAACAATAAATAAAAATACAAATGGTGTAATACAAAGACAAATAGTCTTGAATGTTTGATAGTCGTGATATTATTGAACCCGTTTTGCTCATCATTTACATTTTAGTCAAACCTTTTGACTGAAATAACTGATTTGTTCTCTCTATGTGTGTCTACTGTAACTCAGAGGATCCAGATGGTCGGAAAGGTCGCAAGGGACATGATAACCTGTCTAACCAAGGCTTGGACAAGGCAGTCAATCGAGCACTTACTGAAAAGAAAGCTGCAGACACACTCGGAGATGCGAAAGATGGGGGTGATGGAAGAGATGGTTTAGGGGCTGGGGATGGTTCAGGAGCTGGGGATGGTTCAGGGGCTGGGGATGGTTCCAGTGGTAAAATTGGCGATGGTTCTGGTGACAGGGATGGTGATGGAACTGATGGAGATGATAAGAACCGCTTAAGAAGCGAAGAAGATGATAAAGATACAAAAGATGATGCGAGTAAGAAGAAGCGATCACGAACTGGGCCTTTGGTTCCTGACACTGTCTTAGGTAAAACTCCTTACAACATGGTTTAAAGACTGAATAATGTATGCTCAGATTGCAGATTATTATAATGTCAACGCTTTAGCTCAGCTGTTCTCAAGGGTTAGCGTCTGCAAATACTTGTAACTCGGCAATATCAGCCTATTTTCAATCAGTGCTTCAGGATGACTCCACTAAAGGTTCGATCAGATATAATGTTTGAGGCTTAAGTATCATTTCTATTCCAGGGGGAAAAAATGGACAAAAGTGAATGTGGTTAGATTTTTAGTGAAAGATAATCATACAATATACATATTTCCCAATCCCATCTGCTGTCCATAAGAAAGTGCATACTGTAATGATAAGGATTTTTAAATGAAAGTGTGCGCTTATGTGCTTTCAGTTTTGTCTCTATTGTAATTTGCTACTGATGTGTGATTTTAAAATAATCAAAACATAATTTGTTATATAACGTGATTATTTTTTACATTTTCACATGTAGATCGAGGTGTTCAATTTGTCAGTGGGCTATCAGATACAAATGCCAATATTGGAGAACGGGTGGAGATGTCCTGCAAACTAAGCAGTGAGACGTCAGAAGGGCGCTGGTACAAAAATGGGAAACTGGTAAGTTAAAGGAGTAAAACAGGAGTGTAAATTGACACAATTCACTGTATATGAAATTACTATAACTACAACTTTGTTCTTTTTCTACAAATAAGTATCATTTTATATAGTCAATCACTTTTTTACTGTTTATTTACTTATTTGTCTAGCTAACAAATGAAGATGGGGTAACAATTATCAAAGATGGAGCCTTTCACAGGCTGATAGTTGATTGCTGTAAAAAAGATGATGCAGCTGTGTACCGCTTTGAAGCTGAAGGACGTAAATCAGAAGCAACACTTAGTATTCAAGGTCAGAATATAATGAGTAACATGGCTGTAGCACAGCAAAACATATCAAATAATTAGTGCTGTCAGTGTCAATCTCGTTAAAATGACGTTAACACCATAACCGCATTAACACGGCAAATCTCTGTTAGCGAGTTACCGCAGATCGCTGCAGTGTCAACGCGTTAACGCGGTTTTGCCGTTGACAACACTTTAACGAGATTAACACTGACAGCACTTCAAATAATATAATAACACTTTTAAAAAGCTTCTCAATGTTTAAATAAAACACTTTTTCCCGTCTCTCCTATACTGAAGATCCACCAAAATTGGACCCTGATGCACTAGGAAATTTCACAAAGCCAGTCATTATAAAGGCAGGCGAAAATGCTGAATGGAAGCTGCCATTCTCAGGCCAAGCACCAATGACTATACAGTGGTACAAGAATGACGATGAGCTGCTGCCAGCCCTCAATGTGAAGATTGAAACGTCTGATACTGAGAGTCAACTACGCCTTATTAAGTGTCAAAGAAAAGACAGTGGAGAGGTGAAAATCAAAATAAAAAATGAATTTGGTACAACAGAGGCAATATCCAAACTTATTGTACTGGGTGAGTTTTCCTCAGATATAATCTGGCAGTTTCTGTGATAACAACAGAGGACATGTTAGACATAAACAGGCTGTGGAAAAATAACATTTTCTACTTGAGTGTGCAAGAGGTACACTGGCAAATGTTTCACAAAAAAGCCCTATGAATAAATAAATAAAGGCCACTGAAATGATAATGCTTTTAATTTTCCGGAGATAAATACAGCAATTAGAGGAGTATGTTTAGGAAATTATGACTTTGTAATAGCAAAAATTACAGGCATTAGCTTAATTGTTACATATTATCTGGCATAATGACCTGTTCTAAGTTGGTTCTCTATTATATTTACAGTTTGTTTGCTTATGTTGTGCTTTATTTACTTTATAAATTAAGTAAATGAAGCACAAATTATATTGTTCATAGTGGTGTGAATAGTGAATAATTTAGTTGGTAGCTGGTTTGAGGCCCATCCCCATGCAAGAATGGAGATATTGCTTTAAGAGCAGAGCCTGTCTACAGAGAAACCTGAGCAATTATTCACTACAGTCTAATTACCATAATGCATGAATTCCAGCATGGCCAACAGAACTGTACTGGATTGAGGCTTTCAACATGAAAATATCCATTTATTATCTTAAAAGACAGTCATAGAAATAAATCCCTACTTGTAAAATGACCGTGCGTCAAATAAAGGCCTGTTGCCTTAAGCAACTTAAGTAAATTTTAAAAAATGCCCTGGTTGCTATTTGAACAAAAACGGTATGGCAAAATGTAGAATGTGCAAAGATAAATGCCTCTGACGCATTTCTTGTCATGTTGTCAACAGACAAACCAACACCTCCACAAGGGCCTGTGGACATTATGGAAAGTGCTGTGACATCTGTTGAATTCAAATGGAAACCACCAAAAGACAATGGTGGATGTCCGATCGCAAACTACATCATAGAGCGACAACAAGTAGGGCGAAATAAATGGACAAGTCTTGGTGAGATTGCCGGCAACAGCCCAAGTTTCAAAGATTCAGATGTGGACCCTGGAAGGAGATACTGCTACCGGATCAGAGCGAAGACTGAAGAAGGTATCAGTGACTACCTGCAGACAGAGGACATACCAGCTGGTGTATTACGTAAGTTTTCAGTTAATGCCTTCTTCTTCATTACTTTTTCTTTGTTCAGTTTAGAAGGAAGTATTACAAGGCATGTCTTTTTAGTATCCAGGTGGAAACACTTTGTTTATTGCAGTAAAACCCTGACTAGCCACTAATAAAATGTTTTGGGAGAAGCTAAAAGAAATCCATAAATAATATATACAAAGCTATGTTAAATATATTAAAACACTGTCTCTGAATTTATGTGTCTAATAAATACTCTTCCATTTACACTTTCTTCAGTTTTCAGCCACCTGCTAATTATGGATGATGGAAAAAATAAAAGTAATGTTGAGAAACATGGCGTGGCAACATTGATTAATTAACTCACTTTCACTTTGTGTCATATATCCCCCGCAGGTTATCCTGGACCACCAGCTGTACCCAAAGTGGTCAGTGCCTTTAAAGACTGCATTAATCTGGCATGGAGTCCTCCATGTGACACCGGAGGAACCAAAATAGTGGGATACAATTTGGAAAAGAACAAGAAAGGCACCAATTACTGGAGCCTTGTAAATCAAAAGGGGCCAATTACAGGTATACAACTTAAATGCTGAGGCGCAGGACATTTAGCTCAAGAGTAAAAATAAATGCTTGTGATGTACCTGCACACATCAGTGCAGATTTGTATTGATATAATTGCTCCTTCTGTTGTCTATAGATACAAAGTATGCAGTTAAAGACGTATTTGAAGGAGCAGCATATGAATTTCGAGTGTCAGCTGTCAACCTGTCTGGTGCTGGAGATCCCAGCATTCCATGTGACACAGTTATTGCAAGAGATCCAATGAGTAAGTTAATCACACAGACTTATGTTTTACTGTATTTGCAGGGATTTTTCAGTCATGAAAGTCATTCTTTAAACTAAATATAATTCTCTCTGCTGTGTAATATAAAAGCTTCACTCTCACCTTACTGTTATTGCAGAACCCCCAGGCAAAGTCACAGACCTTAAATTAACATCTTCCAATTACACGACATTTTCGCTGGCTTGGACTAAACCTAAGGAAGTGCAAGGGGTAGAAGATGAAGCCCAAGGGTATTATGTGGAGATCAGACCAATAGAGAACCTTGAATGGACCCGCTGTAATACCATCCCAATTACTCTAACATCCTACACTGTGCTTGGCCTTAAGGCAATGGCCACATACTGGGTGAGAGTAATTGCCACCAATTATGGAGGTGATGGAGAACCTCAGAGCTTTGATAATTATATCATTGCTATGCCTCCTCCTGGTAAGAAATGCAGTTTTTATAGTTTGGTTATTGATTATTTCTAAAATGAGATATATTTATATTTATTTTTCACAAAATGCCAAAGAAAATATGCAGTTTTTCTTCGAATACAACACATCTACAGAGAGGAACAATTGTCTCGAAAAAGCTTACAATTGTCAAAAAATAATGCTTGTATGCCATACGCCCATTTAATATCTGTAGATATACGAGACGGCGGGTGAGAATTGTTGTGACAAGACAGGTTATGACTGAAAACATCTGATAGGATTATAAAGCCCAGCATGGACAAAAAAACTGCGCTTCAAATGCATCATATCACCAAGCATAGCAATTTAAATCTGTAGTTCAAACTCAAAGAAGAACTGTAAAAGAAAAACTAATGAGTGCATCTTATTAGTTGTTAGTTTCATTCTCACTACTAGTACAGGTTTTCTGTGTAGTTGAATTATGACTAAAATAGGGGGTTCTAACAATGGAATTAAGGTTAATTATACCCTTTGTGTCAACTATACACAGAGCATGTCCTCACAATACTGTAGAGAGATTAAAAATATAGAACTCCCTCAGCAGCTTTATGAATTACAAATTTAATAGTATTGTATTCTAAATCTATCCCTCACAGTCAAACCAAAGTTTAAAGACCGCAACATGAAGACCTTTGTGGTGGTGAAATCTGGAAACACTGTTCGCCTCAACATCAACTTTGAGGTATTGTTCCACAGGCTTCTACTCTGTTCACTGTGTGAGAATCTAATCAATGCTGTTAGTTAATATAGCAATATATTAATTTGACTCCTATGCTGTCATCTACAGGCATCTCCCATGCCTGAAATCTTTTGGTTAAAGGATGGTATTCCAGTACCAAAGCATGTAACCATTACCAACTCTGATAAAGGATCTCAACTCTTAATTCCTACATCTGAGAGGACGGACACTGGCATCTATACCATTACTGTCAAGAACATGGTTGGCCAGGAAAGCTTTAATGTTGAAATCAGAGTTACAGGTAACTGTCCAAGAGCCATAGCAATGGTTTGTCATTGTTAGGCTAAATAAGACCATATATTGTAGCCAAATTAGAGTAACACTATGAAATCTACTTATCCTGTAAGTTGGCTGGATACAGTTGCATGGTAATTGCAGTACAGAATAATAACTTAATTTGGTGACTTGGATTCTATTTGTATTCATACTACCATGGAAACGTATGATTTAGCAAATACAATGTGATTAAAGTAGGAATAGAATACATGTATTTATAACTTAATGTGCCACATAGGTTGTACTACTTTAAGATCAGATTAAAGGCATGCGACACTGTAGATAAGGGAATGCTTAAAGCCATAATCCTGTGACTGTAACAAAATACTCCAGTCCAATTGTCTCTCTGCCTTTTACTTTGCCTATTTCAAGAAATCCCTTTTTCCCCAAGCTGCGCTTATTGCTGCAGCTAGCTGTACCTGTGTTAAGAGTTTTACTTGAATGAAAATCGTTCTAATTCAAAGCCTATCCAGCAGAAGCTGTACAAAAATCTATTTCCTGTCCAAACCATCAAGGGTACAATTTAGACTGAAAATCAGGAACCTAGCCCTGCTATATCACTAAACAGTATTTTTAAATCTCTAAATTTTTCTCCAGATGATCCTAAACCTCCAGGTCCAGTGGAGCTGGAACAGAATATCCCAGGAACAGTGACACTGTCCTGGACTCCCTCTCCAGATGAGAAAAGGGATGACAGGCTGCACTACATGGTATCAAAGAGGGACTCCTTCAAACGGACTTGGAGAACAGTGGCAGACAACCTCTTTAACAACAAATTCACAGTTGTCAACATTTTACCTGGACGGCAGTATCACTTCAGGGTGTTCGCTAAAAATGACATGGGCCTTTCTCCTCCTTCCGAGTCCCCTGCGTTTGAAACCAAAAAGGAAAAAGGTTTGTTTCAAGTTTAATCGTGAAAACAATACAAAACTCGCAATCATTTTGCAAACTGTCAAACTAAATCACTGTTCCTAAGCTAAGCTAGGTTCTCAAGAAAGTGATGACTTCTTTAAACAGTAAACTATTAGATTTCCCTGACATTCATTCATTGTTAGACTGGGGTTTGAGCCACAAAAGTATAAAAATATTAATCAGATTGTCAATTAATAAACTAAATAAGCCCTTTTCTGTATTCAATACACGAGAATAAAATATGCACAGGCAGCCAATAACAGACGGCAAAACTGACAGTAAGAAAGTGCATGATAGCTCAAAATATGGACTCATCTGTGAGCTTAAATGTGTCTGCTCATTACCCATGGTTATTAAAGATAAATGCATAACACACTTTTATCACAACCTTTACTTCAATCTAAGAAATCAGATTTGAAATCAACATAATGTTTAAATTTCACTAATTAACACTAACCATGCCTTATCATAAGTGTCCCAGTCTCCCCTACTTAATTATTATTTTTGTTAAAATATAATTACTTTTTGTAATTCTTTGTTTCAGAAAAGTTCCAAGTAAACAGGCCAGAGATAAAACACCGGATCTTCGATTCTCCTCCCTCCTTTATTGTTCCCCTGAAGAGGCGTACAGCCCCACAAGGTTATGAATGCTACATGAGCTGTGCCATTAAGGGTGATCCAGCTCCACGTGTTACGTGGTACTGGAACAATATCAGCCTCAACACAAACACCAACTACCACATCACAAATGTATGTGGAGTCTGCTCCTTGCTTATACTGAGAGTAGGACCCAAAAACAACGGGGAATACAAAGTTGTCATACAGAACAAACTGGGGACTGCGGAGTCATCAATGATGCTGAATGTCAGAGGTATTCACAAGGTTTAACAATCATAATGTTTTTACTAAGTTGATTGCCTGTTGTAACATTTGAGTTTGCAGTATGTAGATTAAATAACCTTAGAGCAATATTGCTTTTTTTGCAGAGTGAAGACAAGCCACAGCTCCTGGGAAGAAGCTGAACAAACACCTATGTGGAAATAATATAACCAATAAATAAAATGTAATGGAAAATGTGGTCATTTTTGTTTAAATGGTAGATGTTGCAAAAATAGTTTAAAATATTGCTCTTTTTTTTATTCTGGAAATGGATCCAAAGCATTGTGAAAGAAAGACAGTTTGAACATTTCAACACAAATGTGAAGTGCCATTGCTGGTATCTTAAGATTACATATATTTATTTTCCGTGTTAAGGTTTGCTATGGCAAATCACAAAATATCCAGGTTAACTGTGTACTGCAACTAGTATGAATTATGATGAAACAGCTCTCTCTTGAGGTGAATGTGCAGTGTGACACCTGAATGCTGCAATAACAGAGTTAAAGACAGTCACATCAGATGGCAGAGAGATGAAAATATTTCCAGGTACAGAAAACATAAAAGACTGCATTTCCATCTTACTTCATATGTTTAAAATGAAAAGGCTTTAGTATTAATATATTAGTGTTTGAACTGCAGCAAAATGTTACAAGTCAAGCTCTTTCCTCTTTTATTGACCATGTAAATGTGTAGTTTCAAACATTCCTCAAAATCATATTTTGTAGTAATTTAGTGGTAATTAAGCTATTTAGGCTTATGACTTATAGGTAGATCTATGTTTACAAATAGAAAATATATTAGGGAAAACATATGTTGCTGTAGCTCAGGAGGTAGAGCAGGTCATCTACTAATTGGAAAGTTGGTGGCATGCCAAATATCCTTGAGCAAGATCCTAATTCCAAATTGATCTCTGATGCATCCATTGGAGTATGAGTATGAGTATGAATGTGTGTGAAGGTTAGAAAGAAAGCACTCAAGTAGAAAAAGCATAGACAAAAGTGTCTGTGTGAATGAGGCAAGTTGTATAATGCACTTTGAGTGCTGCAGCAGAGTAAAAAAAGTGCTATGAAGTGAATTTAGTTCACAGAAGACACCCAACTCTGGTTAATTCCCTTTGCTGTTTCTACTGTGAAGTAAAAATCATACCGGCCGCAACAAGAAGCAGCTTCCACCTGTTGGAGAAACTAGTGTGGTGAATGCTAGTGTTGGTGTTGGTCCTTTGTACCTTTACAGTCAGGCCTCTGAGAAGAGGGATGTATGTGTAACATCAGCACAATCTTAACCTCCTAAGACCTGAACTCTTCCACGGCATGCATTTTTAATTTCTCTTTGATATTTGGGCATATTGGGGCCCAATGAATGTAAAAACAAAGAATTACCAGATTTTTTTTTACCTTATTTTTGTTTTTATGAAAAATCAGATCCACATATGAGGATATTTATTTAAAATTTTGATAGAACAGTAATGTCCTCTTAAGTGGATATCAGGCCCTTGTAGAGCAAAATTGAGTATTTTGGTCTAAATAACCCAAAATGTGATGTCCACATATGTGGACGCCAGGTCCTAGGAGGTTAAGAAACTGTATTTACAACAGCAAAACCTCCAGCAGGTGATGGAGATCACAGAAGCACTTTATCGCCTCTAATCAACCGGACTTTTAATTAATATTAAGTACTTATAATATAGTTACTTATTTCATTTAGCGTTATCCTTCGGAAGTTGCATTAAAACACACACGCACGTCATATATACACGAGTTTAAAAACAAGGCACCAAGATATAAATAAAATAATGGAAGCATTGCAGTTTCACTTCATAGATAAACGTGTAACTGTTACGGCTCTAGCAAACTTGTTATGTGTTTTTGTGTGTCCCGTTTTCCTTCTCACCTGACTTTGGCCGCCATCCGGTTCCCTCGAGTAGCCAGTGCACAGCTGGGTTCACTCAGCAATTAGCCACCCAACAGTAAAAGTTGTTGAAGAGCTACTCACTCCTTCGGCGTGGAGCAGCTTCAGTGCTGTGGTGAGCTTGGGCGTCTGAGTCAGAACGCCTGGCCTGTAGAGGCCTAAGCTGAGGTGTGTCTTGACAGTATTTGGGTCTTCAAGCTACTAGACGGTAGCTAGCGCCTGTTTACAGGAGCAGTGTTTTTCTTTGCTTTGCAGTGTCCGTTCTTTTCAGCACATTTTAGTTTGTTGCTAATGACGGTTTGATGAAGCCCTGTGAATGTGTCCGATCGTGATGTTTCCATGTGCTTTTTATAATGTCTTTACTTATATTACTAAATAGACTTTAGTGAACAGGGTTTACAAAGGGGTTATATTTCTGCCATCCTCTTGGTCCGATTTCTCTTTAAAAAGTCATTTTTAATGTCAATTAGACTTTTTAACTGGATAAATAAAGGATACATAAATGTCAGGTTCCCATATTGTGGGTTCTACATTATGACAAGAATGTCATGTTTGTGGCTCAAGATGACTTGATATCATTCGTTAGGGATGCATTTGACATATGTTTCACATATTATAGGCCAACAAGTCAGTTATAGCAATTTAAAAACGGGAAATCACTGTACACAGTTCTCTCAGTGTGAAGTTCTTTTGTGAAAGCTACTGTTTTCTGCCAGCAGGTGGTGCCTGGTTACTACCATATGATGATGAAGCATACTGAATAAAGGGGATATGGAGAAAACAAAACCTTTGTAACTAGAGGATATGTGCCGTTAATCGTTATTTATTTATTTTTTGTAGCCAGTTTACAGGTTACTGTTAAATGTATCTATACCTCAGATTTCTCATGTTAAGTGGACTACTGTCATCCTTCCTCAGCCTTTGAACTGAAACTGATTAATAGACAACAGCAAGCCCTTTTTAAGTGACTGACTGACTCCTGCATTGTTAGGATGTTGCACTTTATGTAAACTGCACTGTCTCGCTGTTGTCCAGCATGAAATAAATAGAATAATCCAGAATTCTTCTTTAGTTGCAGTTACATCATGTACGATGTGATCCCATCAGCATTCCTGTAAAAATTTAAATTTGTAGAATTATTAGATTTTTAATGTGATTAGAGTACATGGAGATGATGTGTACACTGACTGAGGCTGAAACAAGAAATAAAACCAAGCCCTAGTTTGGTATGACTAAGATTCCTAAAACTTTCACCTCTCATAATGCTGAGAAACTACTCAGAATCAGATATTTTTGCAAAAAAAAAGTGTGTCTTTACCACTGGCACACATTTACAGCAGTGCATTATTTGTGAATAACTCACAGAAAATGTACCCTTTTTAGATAAATGAATGCCAAAAACTGCCTTTGAGCTGGTTACACTGCATTGCAACTAATGTAACCACAGACACATGCAACTTGGAGCTCGGTCAAAAGATTAACCTTTAACGACAGAATATACTGTAAGACATAGTATACACATGTCTCCATGGCCAAGCACCCTATATGTTTTTATTATTACTTTTCCTTCCTTTACTACTGTGCATTCAGAAGTGTCTTCCGCTAGTTATTTAAACTGGTAGGTTTTCATTTATTTATTTATTTATTTTAATGTAAAAGCCTTGGTTCCCTTTTGCTTAAATGACTCTATAGTAAATCACATTTTAATTCACAAGGGAAAAAAACTTCTTTGCCTTGAAATAAGTTTACTTCCCTTTGCATTATATACAGCATCACATTTACAGAATTTACATTGCATCAAAGTTACACCATAATATACAAAACAGGCTTTTCTTTTAAAAAGAGAATAATGTATATTCATTTTAAAACACTATTAATATGACTTTTTATTGTATTTGTATTTGTAATTTTTACTCTCGTTTGTTAATTCCTTTACACAATGCTGCTATAAAATCCTTTGGTACACACACACACACACGCATGCACACGCACACACATTGCAGCCCGCCTACTCCCCTCTCCCACCACTTCCCCCCACTATCTCACACTTGTGCAATTGTTTCACTCTCTTCTGATATGCAATGTCTCACTATCACGTGAAGAAGACGCTTGGATTGTCCTTTTACCAAAGAAAAAACAAATCTGATTTTAATCTTACTGGATAAAAAAATACATATCTCTCTACTTCTCTTTCGTTTAAGAAGGACATTAAAAAAAAATTGGACATACTTCTGACGACAATACTTCTGCATGCAGTGGTTCCAGCTGCCCAGGAGCGATGTCATCTCTACCCTCTCACAACAAAGATCCGTCACGCATCAGAAAGCAGCTCTCTGACTCTTGTCCAGTTTCTTCTGTTGCCACTACTAAGAGCCTGCGGGTAAGGCCTGATTGTCTTTAATCTTTTAAGTCTTTGTTCAGTGGCAGGAAATGCCATAAAAGGAAAACATTAACTTTGAGGTTCGGTCATTGTCGAAGAAATGTGTTGAAAACAAGCCACAGAGGTATTTCTGAACATTAGAACACACATAACTCATCACTGCCTTCAATCCAATCTATTTTTTTGGTCTGTTTTGTTTTTTGGACATAATTGTGTGGCATTAGCTAATCATTTTCTATGATTTATGCAGTACAATTAGGAAAAATTAGGGAAGTAGAATTTCTCAAAATATGCTGGACTTCATGTCTCTTCAACTGTTTCTGCAACATGATTACAATGTTTTATTTTGGTAGTCCAGTTTGACATTCTATCACTGCAGAGGTGATTTTGTGGTAATTTAGTAAGCTTATCTTTAGGATTACTTATTTTATTGCACTCTGGGGTCTGTGCAGTTAGATTATTAGATAATTGTAATAAACCATGTGGAGAATGTGCAGTTTTATATTGTTCATTACTGTATATGGGGATAGTTCAAATGACCATAGTAACACAGAAACTGATAAATAAAGCTACACATTGATGTTCGTGAGCAAGGGAGCAGAAAACTTGAAGGAAATGTTGTAATAAGCAGTTAGCAGTCTTATCTGTTTATGCAAACCAAGAACCTCTTGAGAAAAATATATGGTGTGACGCAGAGAAAAGTTTGTGAGAGAAAGGGCAACAGGAAGAAAGGAGGAGGAGGAGGCAAGAGAAAAATAGAGAGAAAGAGAGACAGAGCAGGGGGGGATGAAAGACAGGATGAAGAGGAACAGAAGGAAAGAGGGACAGAGTGCTTGGAGGACTGACTTGTGGGAACCCAGTATTTATGGATGTTTATCTCTCCGCTAGTCCTAAGGGAAGCTCATATTTTCCATTTGGGAATAGCTGGTCATTAGACAAAAAGTCCCTCACAGAATCTGGGAAGGCTGGAGGACAGATTTCAGATGGAGTCAGTCCTTCATGAGACAAAGACACAAAAACTTTTTGATCAGCATCTGTTTCTGTGCGATGCTGCTTAATATAAATCAGAGCTTTTTCCAGGTCTGTTTACAGTATATTGTTCATTGTCATTTACCTAGCATGGCAAGGTTTGCAGACATGACTGGATGTCATCTCTTTAAAGGTCCCATAAATGTCTGAAGTGAAGCGTATCACTGTTTACACAATGTGCCTTCAACTTAAAACCCCGTCTCTTCTTTAGAGAATTTAGCTTACTTTATCAGTTTCACGTGACATGTAGCCCTCAGGCATAGGATACATATCGGCTTTTTGGCTTAAGTTTATACTACAGTCTCTACCAAAGGTCTCTGAAAGAATAAAGATGCAGTGTAAACTGTAACTGTGTGGACTGTCTTATATTAACAAGACAATTCTCTGTTTGAATTTTCTAAAAGACAAAATGCAGAAGTACAGGCAAAAAGCAAGATCATTACTTTTTCAAGCTTTAAACAAACGTATTGTTTGCACTAAAAGAGTTACAGTAAGAGCTTTTCTTATGATGAATAAACAGAAAGCACACTTCACGAAAGAGGATTAAAAGGTGGGTTTAGAAAAGAAACGTGGCAAAGCTATTTTTGTCTACTGGAGGCTGTATTTTGTTTTCTTGCCTTTTAATCTCTCACATCACACAAAAGTGGGCAGCCATGCTAGTATCTTTACAAGGCTGTATTTAGGAACAGCAGTGCTTTCAGCTAAATGCTAATGTCACCACAGGACTTGGGCATATATTTTCTTTTGCTCTCTAAGATTAGGATGTTTGTGCCATAACGTTTGCTAATCAAATGATAAAATCTTACCAGATTATACCTATTGCAGACAAATCTTTAAAGTATAACAATAACAAGTATCCAAGAAGTCCTCCAAGCACATAATAGTGTTGCTAATTTGTTCCTACTAATTTTAATAAAGAAATTCTTTATATGGATATCCATAATCTGTAGGCAAGGGACATAATGTTTGGTAGTGAAAATGTTTCTGTTTATGGGCTGCTTGTAGTCTGAGTGCTATTGACCGATGATTTAGCAGGTTTGGTTGCATGCAAGTAAGCAGTCAGCATGGAGAGCAAAAGAAACAGCATTTGCAAACACATCCAACTGTTGAAACGAAGACTCCAGTCTGACCTTTTTCTAAAATGACTGTTTAGTTTTGCCTTGGCTCTCTGTTTATTTTTCATTTCCTCTTGCTATTTGGTTGAATTCAGACACAGAAACTAGTTGGTTAGCATTAGATAACAAGAGCAATCTGAGTTAAAATACACAAGAAAAACAGTAAACACATGTTTAAAAAAAAAAGCTTTATTTTCTATACTCTATGGTGCTGAGTTACACTCACAGATTGTAGATAAAGCTGGATATAGCCACTGTGACATCATCTATAACTGGTCCTGCAGTGAAACTTCTAGCTGAGCATGTTTGCCACTGCTAGCTGTTTTGAAACCAAATTTCATGAGTGACATTAAACTGAAGGCGCTTGTAGGAAATGGAAATGGAGTGGAACTCATGTGGTGTTTTATAGTCTTACTGACCACTCAAAGTGCTTTGGACTACAAGCTACGAGCTACAAGCATATATAATCTAAGTACTTTATCTACCTCATGTTTATGGCCAATTTAAAATGAACAGATAAACCACAAATACGTATCTTGAGAGAAAGCCTGAGTGCCAGTACAAAAACACATGCAGGCATGGGGACAACATAACAATTTTTTGCAGTAACGGTAAACATATTTCAAGCAAGTGTTAGAGACTATTCAGGGGGCAGAAGAGTGTTTGTTGAGCTCATGGATCAGAGGAGCCAGTGAATGTTTTCTATAGAGTCTGACTTCTATTTGCATCATAGGCACTGCCAGTTGCTGGCCACGGAAGAATAGAGGCTCAAGGGACTTTTACAATGGCTATAGTGTTCAGAACAGAAAGCTAAGTCCATTGTTTAGATACAGTCTATAGTTTCACTACAGTTGAATGTGGCAGCACAAGTGTACATTTTACATCCACGTTTTTCTTCTTATTGTTGCTAGTTGTCTTAACTTTAAAATTTCAAATCACAAAAGGAAACAAACTTTTAAAAAAATATGCTATGGCCTTCCCAGTCACTGGATCTCAACTGTCAACTCAGCAGAACTGGTGTGGAAGACTTTGTACCATATATATAGTCCTTATATTTCATACTATACTATAATTACTAACCTTATAAGTTGATGTATTTATTATCCTATACTTTGTCATCTCCTAAGGAAATTATTTCCTAAGTTAGCGGTAAGCAGTAGTCCGTGCAGTAGTTATTACCTTTTTTGGATGTGTTTTAGCTATCTGTGCTTGTCAGTTTATTTAAGGAATCATTTCCTCTCCCCCCCTTTAACTTGGCTGAGAATTTCAGACTGCCATAAACCTTTTTTTTCCCCACTAAAAGTCCCTTTCAACATAATTCTTGAACAAGTAATTTTTCAGAAACCCAGACATGCGATTGCATGAATATTGATAATAAAGTCTGTATCTATATTCGCTGACATTGCGCATGTAATAAAATATACTCTGAGTCCAAATTACCTTTATTTTGTTTGTGCATGTGCTGGAAAATGGGGTTGAAATGGTTCCTTATGCAATGTAAGGTTTAAGTTGGGGTTAAGCACAGCTGATATCTTGGTTAAGATAATCGGGAATGTTTTTAAAAGTGCTTAGTGTGGTTGTCATACTGTATTTTTTTTTTTTTTTTAAAAAAACTTTGGTCAGATTGCACCCCTTTCTAAAACATTTTCTTCTCATTTCAGCATGAGAGGGTGTCTAGGTAAGGTTCTTCTAATTTGATTTACACCATCAGTAAGAAAGGCATTACCACGTACCAGAATGACAGCAAAAACAGGAATCTATCCATTACTGACAGGAGTATATCCATTCAATTGGGCAAAGAGTGTGCTAAATCTGAATTAATAGTTACATACATCTCCTGTGTCTTCAGATTGGGATCATCTGGATCATCTGATGTCTCCAGTGACACATCAACAAACCATGCTGAGTCCTACTTTTTACAAAGAGAGAACAGACTATCTGCAAGGAAAAAGGCACAAGAAGAGACAGCAAATAATGATTATAAAAAGGTATGCGATACACCTTAAATACAAATATACACGACTGCTATAGATTTGTAATATGTAGATTCTGAGTGCTACTTTTTGACAGTACTGTAGATGCTTATGTACTGTAATAAAAGAATAAAAATAAAAAGAACAAACAGAGATTCAGTGGGCTCAATAATTCGTAACATTTGGATTTAATGAAAATGATGAATAGAATGGGAGCTACTGCTGATAATAATCAAATCTAATTTCAAATAGAAATGTTTTTAATGTTGTCAGATGAGAAAAATAGTTTATTCATATGACATTATATGAAAATGAATCAGAATCACATATTCAGGGGGACAGATACTAAGATGCTAATGGGTTCTATGTCGCTTTATGAAAGTAATATGATCACCAAAGATAGCACAGCTTATCTTGACAAACACAAGTGCCATGAGTGATTCATCCAAAACTTGTTGAAGCATTTCCCTCACAGCCACTAATGTGAACATCACGGGAGGAAAAAAGTCTCCAAAGTCAATATGATTCATTATACATGTAACACATATACTAAACCTAATGGCAATCTAATGTCTGTCAAGATATTTTAAGGAAGAAATCTGACCCTGATGGCAAATGATGAAAACTGAAACTACCACAAAAATGAGTCCTGGTGGCAGTGTTTGGTGGTGGAAATCCTAACATGTGGGTATTTTGTAGATGTATGAAAAGGCACTGGCAACAAATCAAAGGCTCAAGTCCCGACTGGAAACAAGTAAACAGGAACTCACCATGATGCAAGACCAGCTGGAGAGAGCACAGGTACTCTAAGCAAGGCTGAAGTAATGATCCAGAAACACTACTGAGAAACAAGTTAACCATTTGTTTAAAAGGGGCAACAGTCCATTTCTTTTTACATAAATATGAGACATTGGTAACAGAGACTGTAGAATCAAGCTCTTTCCATAAATTGCAATCTTTTCTCATAGTAATCTCTCTTTGCTTCAGAAGGGGAGACAGGATGACTGTGGGGCCAATGTGCTAGAAGCAGAAAAAAAGGTATGGACTCAAGAGGAGAAGTGTTTTTTAAGCATTTTTACTCATTTATTTTAATTACCTTTAATGATTATACTTAAAGGAAAGCTGGAGCCTTAAAAAGAGGATATCAGATATGGAAGAACAACTGAAGGTAAATGTTTTATAAATGCCTTAAAACTGAATTTGAACATTAAGTCTCTTTTGAGAATATACAGTAAGTGTTTGGTTGTAACTTGGTGCTGTGGTCTCAGCTGTTTTGTCTTCAGTGGCTTTAGCTGACATCATTTGTCACCATTATGCTCTGCTGGCTGTGGAATGTGTGAGCACTGCAGCGACTGAGCAATCAGTATTCATCTGCAGCGTAAAGCCCACAAATGTCTGCTGTGTTCTGTACAAGTGAATGCAAACAAAAACATCTTGTTGTCTGTGAATGAGAGACCTAAACAAAGATGCTGGTCTAAAAATATACCTTTACAACAGAGAAATTATTCAAAACTGGTCTAAAAGTATCTGTCTGTCAGTGTGTATGAACACATTATTGTATTTGTTTAATAAAGATCAGTCTGTCGTTTATTCTTTAGGCCAGTTTTCTTTCTGTACCAGTTACTAATAAGAGTAGAAACCAGAAACCTTCATAGAATGTAGATAAAAGATGGACATACCGTAGTCAGTATGATATCAGGTTTGGTTAGAAATAGGTTTAGAAGCCTCAGGCCATGGATCAGATTGAGAAACCAAGAAGCACTGAACACTTATACAGTAGCAAACTATGAGTCACAAGGTAGGTCCTCTCTGCAGCATACCTGGTTTTTTCATCCTATTTGACTTGAATGGGGTCCAGAATCTAAAAAGAGAACTTAAAAGTAGCAACTAAGACCTCAGGAGAGTGTTTAGCCTGGCCATAGATCAAAGGAGCCAAAAAGCATTTTTTTTCCCCCCATAGATTACTATACAACTGAACATGCAGGAACCATCTCATGCTGGTGATAAGACAGACTGTAGGTTTAAGGCACTTTCTTTGCTTTCACTTTTCAGACCCTGAAGCTACGTCCATCATTTATAAACACCAGCAAACTTGTATTGAGTTTCACTTTAAGCAGGACCTTGTTACTGTCCACTTTGTGAGCAAGAATTTTTTTTCTCTTAGAAGACACCTTTCTGTATCCATGTGTTTCTCTCTCCTGTGTTATGCACAACTTTTAAAAAGTGGTCTCTGCACAGATCAAGATTCATTGTATTTATTAATATTGTATGTAAATGCTATGACAGTTACGGGGTGTTGTGGTCACTGTTGATCAAATCTAGTGAAACAAATTTTGTACTTAAAGTAAATATTGTTTATAGCAAAAAATGTTTACTTGTGGTTTTGCAAGAATCCAAGGTTATGCCTTTGTTTTAAGAGGTAAATTAGCTGCGGGTGGTCTGTTGTTCTCTGAATATGCTTCCTGCTACCTCCCATTTGATGTGACCAAGGCTGAAAAGATTGCTGACATGACCAGAAATAAAAACCAGTCCTTGGTGTGTAGCCCATGAAGACACTACCAAAATATGAACTTACTTTTAAACTACAAATTAAGAACAAGCAAATCCTTATACTAACCACTGTAAGCAGAAATGCTCTACCTGGGACGAGTTGTAGGACTTTTTAGATACTCTGTCCATCCTTATGTTTTTATACTCTCTTTTCCCTCAGATTAAAGCAGAGCTTAAGATGGAAAACCAGAGACTAAAGGATGAGAATGGGGCTTTAATCCGTGTCATCACCAAACTCTCCAAGTGAGAAGGGAAGCAGACAGGAGGGAAGAAGAAGAAAGGATTCAAGAAGTCATATTTTAATCTGTATCCTTTAAATTTCTGAAAGCATAAGTCCATCTTCTGAAAAGATATGTACAATGGTCAGCAGAATGTATTAAACTGAGCCCTTTCTATCGATTGTTTAGAAAGATGAAAGAGATGTTGATTTAATACTGATTTTCCATCCTCCTGTTCACCTATAAGAAGACACATTTGTCCAACTGTAAACGCACAATACATCAATTTAAAATTTTAAATGTAAACTCACTAAATATTTCTAAATAAAGGCAAATGCCAGTTTATGTGTTTCTTATTACTGTCTTTACGTGAGTAAATTGTCCTCAAGTAAACAGTATATGAAATTTTGTTACTGAGTAGACACTTTCACAAAAAAGGACAAAATATTGCAGGTATTTCCAAAGAAGCATTGCCATGGAAACAGCAATATTTGGCCTATTCCATATGCAGATCATGAAAATGGGCTCTGAACTATCAGGGACAGTGGGTGATGGATGAGAAACATTTTTTAGGAACGTAGGCGTGTCATTCTCTGATTTAAGAGCTTTACCTTGACTGATGATATTGCAAGTAACACGATCTTTGGCTTACAAGTTTAAATAGAAAAAAATGTTTAAAAAAATTATGCATTTATCTATTTTTTCCCTATAAAAGTGTCAAAACAAATTTAGCTTTCTTGTAAAATATCGGTTCAATCTCTGTCTTTTTACATTTTTTTAACGCTGGGCTGTCTTCTATGTGTCACACTCAGCTACTAAGCTGTTTCTTGGTATTTATTTTATGCATGCAACGCCACCCGCTGACCATAAGTGGAAATGCATCTTCTACATACATTTACACAACACATGGGACAAAGCTACTTAAAATGCCTTTATTTCCTATTATTACATATGAACAACACAGAGATATGCTCTGATCACATCCTCATATTTTGGTTCCCTTGAGTACTTCAGTTCTACACAGAATGATGTATGAGTACAACTTTTTTGGTCTTTTTTCTTTGCTTTTCTGCTGGAAAAACATGGATTCTGTACAGAATTAAATCATGCAGTTCACAAAAAGGCACAACTATTGACACACCTCTACAACAAGACAAAACAAGAATGACGAACGACATTCAAGCATTTCCCTTGTCTATGTTGCTGGGTAAGTGAATATATAAGCGAGCCGGACTGTCTTTGGATGTTCTGTTATATGGCTATGTTGACTTAACAGGATCATGACTGTAAAGGAACCATTACCGAAGCAGCAGGTTGGCAGTATTGCATTTCGAATGTTGAATGTTGAATCTGCACTGTTTGGGTCTGCTCTGTGCCCAAGACAGCTTGTGAGACCCAGGAAGACAGGGATTTTGTTGCCTGCATCGCAGAGAAGTGCTAACATACCTTAACAGAAGACCATTTAACGAATGCTGGCTCTACACTCCTGTTGAAAATACATAAACTAGCACATGTTTCAGTTTCAGCACATCAGTTCTATATCAAAGAGTAGAGGATGTGCTGACACACAGTGTACTAAAGGATGTAATGAGGTGCTTCTCCACAAAAAAGATATTGGAATTAGACATTAATCCTCTGTCTTCAGCTCATCTCCTCAAAACCAGAAACACAGTCTTAATGTGAAAGATAGAGTGCAGAGAGGATTAGGCGCGTTCATCTCCATGCACTCCATCTTATAAATAAGGCTTTATCAAATCGTAAATGATAATGACTCAAAAAGCAAAAAAATTAAGGCCCACATTGTAAATGATGTGGCAGACAGCGTCAGTATCTCAGAGCATGCACAAGCAACACAACACCAGCTCATCCTATTGTAATCCCTTAGTTAAAGTATATCAGTTCATACAGTGGCATTTGTAATGAAAAAAAAAATATTGATTGCTTGATTATTAGATGGTAGCTACTTAAAAGAACAGCATCAATAATCTGGTATGCTGTAATAATATTTAATTACTTATGAAGCAAAGAAGACACTACTGAATAATGAATTAACTGAATTCAGTTTAGTTTATCCTCCAATTTAGATAAAAGCTAATTTGCTTGAAAAGCAACAAGATGAGGAGGTACAATTTAATGAAGTGTGACGAAAAAGGGGCTACAAGTCAGTTAGCTAATGTACGGCACTGACATTTGATTAACTAAGACTTGACACCCGTCTGGCAGGAGTACATAAAGGAAACACTTAGGTACACTGAGATAGAAAATTAAGGAGACAACAAGTATTCTCCTGTTTTGAAATATATACAATTAACTGATTATGTATTAATACACTCAGAAACGAACAATTATTACATGACTTGTAGCCTGAGGCAAAAAAACACACTAGCATAGAGACACATAAAAACAATGACGGAAAATCAGACGATCGTGCAGTTTGATGAAAACACAATGGATTTCCATGTGACACTAAAATCAGCTGTGTTTTTAACTGAGGCATTCATGGAATCTGGTAAGCCAAACATGGATTGTTCAGACATACATTCAGCAGAAATTCATACACTTTGCAGTCAGTGCATCCTTTTTTGATACTCTGTTTTATTATAAAAATGACACAGAACACAAACACACATACACAATATAATTATGGTTCCTCTTTAAAACATGCAGCTATTTACATCATCTTGTAAATACATGCTGTAGCCTATTAACAAATTTTGCGGGATGCATATGTTAACAATTGTAAAGGAGTACTGTGGATGAACCTGTCAATGTGCCGCTGCTCACCATTAGATACTTCTGCTGGCGACGTGGATGCAAACGAACGACTGCCTTAACATTTTTTTTTTTTTAAACAAACTGCCCCCTTATAAAAATGTCCTGAAAAATCCATGTTGACATTTAAAAGCACTCAATGTAGACACAAATTTCTATGAGTTAATTTTTTCTAGTTTCAGAAATTCTGAGAAAATATTTTAATGTGTTGGCCTCCCAAGATCTAATTTTGGGTTTTTTTGATTTAAAGAAAGTAATTCACAAAACACCGATTCCCTGATTTTGTCTCACTTAGAATTCACTGATAACATCAATGTATCAACTCCGGTTGAGTGGATGAGTGGGCTGGAGCCAATCCCTGGAGATAATCCACAAGGGATGGGGTAAAACCCTGGACATGTGTCCAGTTCCATCAATTCATGGCCAGTTCAGAATCCAAAATTACCTACGTAAGCAGTGAAACTCAACAACAGAGAGGCTCTAGACAGTGTTTGAAGCCAGAAATTAGTTGTCATTAATAATGATTTCAGTTACAATGATTTGAATTATAAGAAAGTGATACTGACTCTTTTTCCCTCCCGGTAAATTCGGAAGATTTTTCAGGTTCAGGTTGTCACCACGTGTGATTAGAGAAAGTGTCATCCATTTTCTAAAGCTATTTTTGGGGTTTTTTAAGGTTCCTGCAATAAATGACAATTTTAATCCTACATATGTCTACATTTAACTCAAAGAAACCAATATGGGGACAGTCATGATTCTTTAGTTAAGAGGGGCTGCTACAGGAAAGAGATCAGGTCACTGGTAAATTCAGTGGAATTTAAATGTCAACATTTTAAATGTTCTATCCTCAGTCATCCCTTTATAATAATCAATTCTTTGTGTCCTTTTTTGCTTCCAAGCCACTAAACATTAGACTAATAATTTGCCTACAAGTTTCAACATCACCATATTGCAGCACTTTGTCTCCAGGATCAAAAAGCTTGTGTCCCGACCGAGTGATTCAAACAAGACAAAATACTGCGAGGCATGATACATGCTCTATTCTGCAGCTCTATTTGGTTCAAGCAGATGGTCCAGGGTGTGTGTATTGTATATGTTTGATGATACAGTTTCTATGTTTAGATTCTACAAACCTCATTAATACTTCCTTTTAAAAATCAAAGCTGCATCTTACATTTCAAATTCAATAATCTATAAAAACATTTCGTCTTTGACAGAAATCCTCATGTTGTTTCAGCAGAAACTACAGAAATATTGAAGTGAATTACAGTAGAACTACAACATCAGCCAATGACGTGGAATCGTTTTAATGAATGTCAAAACATAATAACCAAAATGGCACTGTCTTTTACTAAACAACAGAAATCAAAGAAGCATAGTCAGCACTGTTTTCAGCATCATTGGTAATCCTTTTTAGTGCCTTACTTCTACAGTGGATAAGTAAGGTTTTACATCCAAGTGGTCAACATAGCCAGATTTCAAATGGCACATTCACAGTGTCCCTGACACATTTTGAACAATATTCAACCACTTTAAAAATAAACAATAAAACCTGCACTACTTCTCAAAGTGTCATATCAGGAAGGCACCCTTGTATTCCTGTCTTACATTACACCTGTCTGAAGACACAGAAATGTGGGTTGAAGCTAAATGCATAGATGGGCCTTCGTGGCAACACAAAACAAGCAAGTTAAGTCAGACAACTGCATCATCCCTGCTATATGGTTCTGCTGCACTGTTTGCACCATCTCATATGTGAGCTGATAAAATCAAGAAAAATGTCATACATATTCCAGAATTGATTGTTGCATTCATTGATCTCAACCTGATTCATCTGCACTTGAATCTCTTCGCATTGATAGACTTAAGACAAACTTTATGCAGGAAATAACCCCAAATTACAGTACTTTCTATTGCAAGTTAAAGCACAGTTATTAGCAAGACACAATACTGGGCGTGATGCACGCAGAGCAGTGGGGAGGTAAGTAAAGCATGCTCTATAAACTAAACTAAAGCCTTTTTTTATATATATATATATCCAGCATTGTCTTCACCAATACTTCCATTCAGTGTCAGCACCCTAAGAATGAGATTCTTCAAATGAAGGAAAGACTAAAAGTCGATCATTCATTAACCAGTCACCCGGTAACTCAACACCATTCTTCTCAGCATACATTAATGTGGGAAATGTGATGCTCAAAAAGAGTTTCAGATATTCTACAATGTCTTTTTTTTTTTTTTTTTTTTTTTTTTTTTGAGCAGGACTTTAGACAAATAGTCATGTGTGAAGTCGTGAAATTCATGCAAAGTAGGGATGAAGATTGGATTTCTGAGTTAGTGCATTAGCTGGTTGGTGAGATGTGTTACTTCTTTGCATTCAGCTTTGCCAGCTGGCCATCAATTTCCTCCTCTGGCTGCAATGGGTGCCACTGGGCAATGGGACGGCGTGGATTAGCCAGCATGTCAGTCCAGTGCTTCAGACCTAAGCCAGTAGCCTTATTGCCCACGAAGATTTTTCCAATGGCATCATTCTTACCTATCTTGTCATAATCAAACACTGTGACTGCCACCAAGATT